AAAACATTAATTTTCTATTTTTTTCCGAAAAAATATTGACCACCTCACTAATTTTTATTGGTATTTCTCTATGGATACTTAGATAATCCATTTAGTCGATTTTCCCCCATAGAATTCCTCAAATATGATTTCAAACGTTTCAACGTTTGAAAAGCTCCGTTTTACGCTACCAACTGTGACGGGCAACATAGCGCCAATTTTTAAATATTGGTATACTTTAAGGAACAGTAATTCATCACAACTAATTGCATCTATAAAAGTGCAAGGAAGATTATTTTCTGCGGCTATCGATTTTGTTCGATTGTTGTTAATCGGGCTGCATTAAGCTGATGGCTAACATCAACGATTCTTTTTCGTATACATCTATACAATTCTGAGCAATCATACAAGAAGTTTTATGATATTCTACATTTGTGTGATACCAGAATTGTTCTTTTGCATCTTTCCAACGACAGAATGGAGTTACTACGAGGGCCTTTGTGGAGATATGACTTCCTTTTCCCACTTCTTTAGAACAAAATAAAAAACAGAATACGCTTAGTGATTAATCGCACAAAACAAAATACGTTTAAAGATGACGATAGACTGCAATATCTTCGTGGAATTACCCGTATTGCCGTACAAAGGTATTTTAAAATGTACGCTGTTTATTTTATTATGATGGAGAATTTGTAATATCTAAGTACAATATGATATTACAGGTACCAGATATTTTAGTTTTCTCATAAAAAGTTAATTCATCCTAAAAATTTCGGGGGTGGGGTTATCTCCCCCCGTTAGTACGCCACTGCCCCTGTATTACTTATACATTTTAAAAAATGTTAACGTATGCGGCTTAATTTTTTTTATCCAATAAGATGAGATTATATTATATACATGAAGTATTTTTATTAACATAATTACAGTTATAATTAATTATAATGAATATGAATGAATAATTTGATGAGACAGTAGTTAATATTGTATTGAACGAATCAGGGCGTTAATATCGGCCCCCATGTTGGTAACTTTAAGTCGTTGTTTCCTTTTATGTTTATTTTGTTCCTAGTTCATAGATATTCATAAAAATCATCTAATATAAGATAGTCAGTATACTATTGAATTGTTTTAAAAATAAAAAAAAATTACTGCATAACACCTACAAGCATTCCACATACCACAGGTTCAGAATCACAGATTTTAATTATTATTAACTTAATTGTAAATTAACTTAATGATCTTTTATGGGTATAAAAATAAACCAAAGCAAATAATTAATAATTTATAGTTAAAATGTATTCGTTTTAGTGTTAAGTTTACTAGAATGTGTACTTATAAATGATGTTTTTAAAAAGTCTAAGTACCTTGGACAAGACAATGGTATTGGTGTTAGAATTTTTAGTTGGTGTATGGGAGCTTGGCTTTATTAATAAAAACTCAGGTGATCACCCATTCAGTAGCTAGTGATCAATTGACAATTACAGCTAAGTACTATATCTCTTAATGATTATTTATAGGTAACTATTACATTGGATAAAAATTTGAAAATGATACTACAAAACTATATAAAATATGAAAACGAAAGTACTATAAAAGCAATTTTTTATATTAATAATTTTATGTTAATTTCAATGAATCAAATATTCAAGTATGTTAAATTTACAAATACTTGTATAATTTCAACAAAAAAAATTGTCTTCATAAATATGTAAAAAATATAAATGTTAGTAAAATTTTATCAAATTTATTCGTTTATAATAAACTAGTTTTTAACTTAACCGTTCTGAAAAATACTACGAAGATTAAATCTACCTTGAAAACCTAATTCATTTTTGTAATATCTAAATCTAAAAGAATGTTAATTTTTGTATGTTACACATTTTTATTGGGCAACAGATTTTTTTTATTCAAAAGCATTTAAATGTATATTTCTGTATTAGGTATAATTATCTACTTAATGAATGTTAAAAATATAACAATAGCTCTAATTAATCATGATAATAAAATATATAAAGATAAATAATTCGAAATTAAAAAATGAATAATTGTATTAATATTTTAATGAATTTATAAAATATTTATATTTATTAATCTTTCTCTTTTTGAAAAAATCAATAGCGTAAATCTGTATGTGGAGAAATATAAATATTAAATAAAGTAGTATTAAATTTGTTCATTATAATTAATGCAGTTGTTACCATACGAAATTTATTTTTTCTTATATTAAAATTAAGAATTCATTAGTAAATAATTATTTTTGCCGTGTGATTATTCCATATAATCTATCAGTTTTAATTATTTATATTCATCATGATTTTTTTCTTCATTATTTACCTAATATTTAGCATACTATTCATTAATTTTATTAGAAAAATATCTTTAAATTTAAATAATTTCCTTTATTACTTTAGTATAATGTGTTGTTAACATATGTAGATACAAGTCATCTTCAGTAAACATAAATTATACGCCGGCCAATTTATTGTATCTAATTTGATCTAACGACCTAGGATGACCTGTGACGATTGTACGATATGTAAATCGATGGCGCATCCTGTGTTGTATTAACTAATTATGAATAAACATGTGTGGTTGTAATGTCGATATTTTAATTTTTTATTATTAAAACTGTTCATTTTAATTATTAGTTGACTAAATTTTTAGAATACTATAGTGTACCGATATAAAAATTACGTAGTATTTTAGCTAAACCATGTCGAGACAACAAGCCATCGAGCTTAAGATTAAAAAAGATAGGGAGATTGCACTGAAGGCCGGTCGTCGTCTGGTAAAATGTGTCCCAGGTGACGAAATTGTTATATCAGGAATATCTGGAAGTTTTCCTGATTCCGATGGACTTCCGAATTTCGCCGAAAATCTTTTCAACAAAGTGGATTTAATAACTGATGATGACAGAAGATGGACTATTGGTAAAAATTAACTATTGTGATACATAAATATGATGATTACATCCATTATTATCGTTTATTTTAATATTACAGAACATCCGGAAATTCCTCAGCGAACTGGAAAATTGAATACAGTGAACAAGTTCGATGCAGCATTTTTTGGTGTCCATTACAAACAAGCGCACACTATGGACCCTATGTGTCGTATAATCTTGGAAAAATCATATGAGGCAATAGTGGACTCGGGTAACAACAAATTTTTATTTAATACAATTCGAAATTGTTATATCATTCTTGTAGTGTAGATAATTCCTTAACTTAAAAATGTTTCGTATTTATTACATATAGATATAATTTTATATTCGATTTCTAAATTCTTTCCTAGTTGTTGTCAATAACAATAAGTTATTTTTAATATTCCGATGGTCAAATATTTTGATTTTGAATAATCATCTGAATCATAAACATTTTTTATATTTTATGCGAAATATATTTGTATTTTAAAAATTGCGACAAAATAAAATTATTTACAAACTCGCAGCTTTCAATGTCTTTAAATAAAAACCAACATTAATTTGAGCATTATGTTGATATAAATAATAAAGATATTCCCCATTACACAAGATATCCATTAGATGCACATTAAACATCCCAAATATATCCAGTACTTTTTTGACATTATATGGATATTTATTAGATATTCATAGAAAGTAACAAATAGATTAGCCACGGTGGGGATATCCATTAGACATTGATATTTTGTAATTAATAGGATTTATATTATGAATGCTAATGAACGTATATTCCCGGATAGCTCTGGTATTACCCAAGGTGATCCCTGGTGATCCCGAACAGGACTATTGGGTAAGATATAAGAAATCCCATACTCCTACCGTCATATACCTAATTTCCTATCCTATGGTAATACTGTTCCGGATTACCGTAGTATATAATGTTTAGATATTCTAGGAGTACAATTTTTAGTCCAAAGCCAATCCAATGGCTTACTCAACGAGACATTTAAATGTGTTGAATTTTTAGATTAGCATTATCTAGCTAACATTGAAAGATGCACAATAACATATTTATTATCAAGATACACCGAAAAATTAAGTATACTTAGGTTTAATCACCAAACATTACGGTATTACCATGACATTCCTAGATAAATATATTTTGGTATTGAAATTGTATTGTTGGTGGATTTTAAATTATATTAACCATTTGAGTTAATTATTTTAAAGACTCCAAAAACTTAATATTGGATTATCGAAAAGCATTATCCTGGTCATGAGGATAGAAGGACTTCCGGCAGCATTGTATATGTTGTGCGGGTTAGATACTTAAATAAAGTTAATAACATACTCGGTATTAGTTCCAAAATTAATATGTGGGGAGAAGACCAAGGGGTAAACCTCAAAGAAGATGAATAAACAGGATAAATAAGATATGGAGTGAGGTGGCTCAAGAAGTTGAAACAAATTGGCAAAATATAGCATATGATAGAGAGAAATGGGAGAAGATAGTTTTGGCGGTAAAGTTTCTCAATGGAACACTAAACCAGAAACCAGAATAAAAATCATAAAAATCTGAATTTAAATAATTGATTAATAATTACTTATTTTGTAACTTTTAAATAATTGTAATTGTAAATTGTAATAGTAAATTTTTTTCTTTTTTTTAATTTTCGTCTATGAATATTATTTATTATTATATGCATATTTAACAATATTTTTTGGATAAAAATCCGGGCTTTATTTATTACTACGTAAAAAACCAAAAGAGTTCATGAATCATGACAACATAAAAAAAATGTTGTTCATTTATGTAAGCCGGTTAGATTTTAAAATTAACATTGTAGGTTTAGGCGTAAATCCCCAGATCACTAGATCAGGCCATGAGAGATCGAACCTCAGATAATAAACCGGAAATTGTCTGTTTTTTTTTTTTGTTAATTTAAAATAACTATAATAACTTGACTATGTTTTAGTAGGCTGTCATATAGTATCGAGTCTACCGGTGAATTTACGAATATAGTATGCGGTCTACTGGCGATTTACAAATATAGTATACGGTCTACCGCAAATAAATAAATTAAAAATTATATCATAATATTAAAGTATAATTATTGTAGTAGTTATAGTAAAAAATTATTAATTGAAAATTAGTTTGTCAAAAAAATTGTTGTCAATGAGTATAAATAAATATAATGTAATATGTTATACAAAAACTTCCGCCATATCTTTCAAAAAATGCATTAAATAAATCTGATTTATTTATGCCACGCCACCATGTTTCCATGAGATATCTGCAATAATATGCATCATTGTATTATAAATATTACGTTAAATTTATTTTACATAACTCATAATAATTTTACCTTGGAAGGAGATCAGGACTTGTACCACACATATTTTTAACTACTTTTAAGTGTAAGGGTCTCCATAAACTTTCGATCTGTTGAATGTGCGCTTGTGTAAGTGGATCCAACTAAGATAAAGTGTTGACCGAAGAAAAAGATTAAAGTGCATCTATTAAAAATAAACTTAAACCTATGTAAAAACCGCAGGTAGACCGCGTCCTACAGCGGCCGGTAGAACACGTTTGCCGGTAGACCGCATACTATATGACAGCTATTTAAGTAAATTTAACTAACTTTATAGCTACCATGCCTATAGCAATTATAAAATACAGTCAATCCTACTATTTTTAAAGAACAAAAACTTGTTTTGTTTATTCTGTGTAGGTATATCTAATGGATATTATAATTCAATCATCTCTAATATTCAATGGATATTCATAAACTAATAAAAAAGCGGCTAATTGGATTTCTAGTAGATATATAATAAATATACAGTCATATATAATGGGTGTTAAAGATATCTATAAATCATATCTATTATACACCCATTAATTGTTCTTGTATTATGTAGGATTTTTCGACGAGCTACGCTCTTCTATAAATAAATTACTCAAACCAATTTTTTCATTTTTAATAAAACTATTGGTATTTATATTAAGTACGTAAATAGAATCAAACAGATCAGTGACTATAAATTATCGAATAAAGACAAATATTAATCAACTTATTTTATTCTATTATTTTTACTAATACTGAACTGAGAATAAAACAGTACCATAAATCATAAACAACTATGACTTTAAGATCTTAATATGAGATAATATTTTTTATCAATTGAAAAAATGATAAAAGTTAATATTTCAAGGGGATATTTTTATATTTCATAATGCATTTTAATTTATAAAACTATAAAATTACCAAGCTATTACCAACATTATAGCATTATAATTTAGTCTGACATAAGCCACTTTATTAATAATCTAAAATTCTCCAAATAGTGTTTATAATAATTATTTAATATTTTTTATTAAGGTAATAACCCAAAGTCACTAAAAGGATCTAAAACAGGAGTGTTCGTTGGAGCTTGCTTTAGTGAGTCAGAGAAAACTTGGTTTTATGAAAAACTACAAGTAAACGGGTTTGGACTTACTGGATGTGCTCGTGCTATGCTTGCTAATAGGATTTCTTATTGGTTAGGTATTAATGGTGAGTTTCAAAAACCAAGTTTAATATAATTTAATCATTAACATTTTCAAATAATATAAACTGTCTGCATCAAAATATTTAACCTTAGTTTTTTTTTTATGTATACAGGGCCTAGTTATTCAGTAGATTCTGCTTGTTCTTCAAGTTTATATGCATTAGAACACGCTTATAAATCCATTCGGGATGGGCACTGCGATTCTGCATTAGTTGGAGGCTGTAATTTGTGTCTTCATCCTTATGTTTCTTTGCAGTTTGCACGTTTGGGCGTGCTCTGTATGGATGGCCGATGTAAATCGTTTGATGAAGGTGCTAATGGATATGTAAGGTCAGAGGCAATTTGCGTCATCTACTTACAAAAATTGAAAAATGCTAAACGAGTGTACGCAAAAGTCTTACATGCTAAGACTAATTGTGATGGATATAAAGAACAAGGAATAACTTATCCTTCCGGACCATTACAACAAAGATTATTAGAAGAGTTTTATGAAGAATGTGAGATAAAACCCAGTAGCTTAGCTTGGATAGAAGCGCATGGAACAGGAACAAAAGTATGTACAGCTTAAATGTTTTATGATATAATTAGTTCATAATATTACTTATGCATAGGTTGGTGATCCAGAAGAAGTGAAAGCTCTAGAAAATGTATTTTGTCCTGGTCGCACAGAACCTTTATTGATTGGTTCTGTAAAATCTAATATTGGTCATACTGAGCCTGCTTCGGGTTTATGTTCTGTAGCAAAAGTCATCATAGCTATGGAATCTGGTTTCATACCCCCAAACATTAATTTTAATACTCCTAGACAAGATATTACAGCGTTTTTCAATGGCCGAATAAATGTGGTAACTGATAAGACACCTTGGAATGGGGGTTTAGTTGGTATAAATTCATTTGGTTTTGGTGGTGCTAACTGTCATGTACTACTCAATTGGAACGAAAAAAATAAAATTAATAATGGACTTCCTGAAGATGATTTACCAAGATTAGTTGTAGCATCTGGTAGAACTGAAGAAGCTGTAACTACTTTACTTAATGACGTAAGTCTCATCGAAATTACATATTAATATTATTTGCATTGATATATATATAAATATGTATTTATTTTTTTGTTTCAGTTTTTGTCAAGACCATTGGATAAGGAGTACGTTCGTTTATTACAAGATGTTCAAGCAGATCAGATCCCCGGACATATTTATAGAGGATATACTGTATTATCAAAAGATTTTAAAAATAATCACTCTATAGATTTGCAAGTAAGAATTGTTATGTTTTATTATAATATATGTTTATGTAAAAATAATTAAATTTCTAATTTATTTCTTTAGTATTATTCCGGTGAACCACGGCCTGTATGCTTCATATTTTCTGGTATGGGTTCTCAATGGACTAGAATGGGTACATCCTTGATACAATTACCTATTTTCAATGAATCGATTCTAAAGAGTCATGAAATTTTAAAAGCATTGGGAATTGATTTAATATACATAATTACTAATACTAATTCAAACATATTAAATAATACAGTTAACTCTTTTGTGGGAGTTGTAGCCATACAAGTAAATATTAATATTCTAATTACAATTTTCTATACAAATATGTTTATGGTTTAAAATACATGTATCTTAAAATGTATTTTAGATTGCATTGTTTGATTTATTGATTGCTATTGGTATTACCCCTGACTTAATTATTGGCCATTCGATTGGAGAATTTGCATGTGCATATGCTGATGGTTGTTTAACAGCTGAACAAGCTTTAAAAACTGCATATTATTGTGGTTTAGCTGTATTGAATTCAAAGATTTCTTTAGGTGCAATGGCAAATGTTGGTCTTGGATATAATCAAATTAAAGATATACTTCCAATAAATGTTGAAGTAGCTTGCCATAGTTCACAAAATAATTGTACTATATCTGGTCTAAAAGAATCTGTTGAACAATTTGTTCTCAAACTAAAATCAAAAGATATTTCGACACAAATAATAAATTTACTAAATACACCATATCATACAAAGTTCATTGGAAAAGCAATTCCATTAATGGTAGAATATTTGAAAAAAGTCATACCAAATCCAAAATTACGGTCTGAAAAATGGATAAGTACATCAGTACCTGAAGAAAATTGGTCAGAAAATATCGCAAAGTACTGTTCTGCTGAATATTGTGCAAATAATTTGTTAAACCATGTATTATTTGATGAAACCTTAAAACATATATCAAATGGATCAATACTTGTTGAACTATCTCCACATGGTATTCTTCAAGATACACTTGATCGATCATTCAAGAAAAATATTACCAGTCTAGATTTAGTATCTAAAAATAATGATGGACTTGGTTATTTACTATCAGCTATTGGAAAGTAAGAATAACTATACAATTTTTATTTGCTTTTTATTTTAATCGTTAATGTTTTATGAAGATTATTTGATGCTGGTCTCAATCCAAAAATCAGTAAACTTTATCCCGACATTGAATTTCCCGTTAGTCGTGGTACACCAATGATTGCACCTTTAATACGATGGGAACATTCAGAAGATTGGTATGTAACAATGTATCGTGTTCAAGACAAAATTAAATCTGGCGAACGTAATATTTCAATTTCCTTGAAAGAAGATGAATTTGAATATTTATCTGGTCACGTAATTGACGGAAGAAATTTATTCCCAGCAACAGGATACTTGGTAAATATTAATATTGTAATAAAAAACTTTTAATAGAGTTTTGTATTATTTATACATAATATATGTTATTTACTCACTGTATAAATTTTATATATATATATATTTTTTTTGTTTTGCTGTCTTATAGAAAATATGTTGTTAGTTATAGTTATAGACTAATATTTACAACTTTTTGGATTAGTTTAATTTATTATTCATAAAATACATGTTTGAATGTAGTTACATAAACTAAGTATCATGTTTGTTAATGAGTTACTTTATTTAATTTTAATAGGTTATGGCATGGGAGACACTTGCTTTGATGCGAGGAGATCTTTACACTGAAGTACCAGTTGTATTTGAAAATGTTCGCTTCCAAAGAGCAACGAATATTCCTAAAGATGGCAATGTAGAGTTTATAGTAATGGTTCAAAAAGGCAGTGGTGCATTTGAAGTAGTAGAAAGTGGAGCTCCAGTTGTAACTGGTCGTTTATACATTCCTACTGATGTTGAAAAAGAAATGATTGACATGCCTCCACATCCATATGAACTTAAAGATACGGACTTGAACAGTAAAGATATTTATAAGGAATTAAGACTCCGGGGCTATAATTATAAAGGACTCTTTAGAAGCTTAAATCGAGTAAATATTGACGGTGAGTTTAAATAACTAAATAGTTACTGTGTATTTTTAATCTTTTTTATATTATTCAGCCACTGTTGGACACGTTGGATGGTTTAATAATTGGGTTGCATTTATGGATAATATGCTACAAATACAAATACTAAGAGAAGATACTAGAGCACTATTTGTGCCTACATCCTTACAAAAACTTTTCATAAATGTGAAAAAACATTCTGTTCTATTACAAACCCTTCCAGAAGAGAAACCGGGTAATTAATATGGGTTTAAATAATATATATGTGTTATAAATCGTTAAACGTGTGTTAATAGTATTGAATTTGCAGAGTTCCCTGTTTATGTGTATCCAGAAATAGATCTTATTCAATCTGGCGGAGTAGAGATTAGAGGACTCCATGCAAATGTAATTGCTAAAAGAAAACCGTTAGCAGATCCTGTTTTGGAAAAATATTTGTTTGTGCCATATGTTATTAAAATGGTAAATTATTATAAATTATTAATTAATAAATAAAAAAATAAGCTATCATTATAAATTTTTAGGGTTACACATTAGAAGATATAGTCCGAATTTCTTTACATTTAGTTATTGAAAATCTCATGGATATCAAAATTAAAACTGTTGAAATTTTAAATCAAATGTTTGATCCTGATGCACAAATTATTAGTCCTATTGTTCTTAATGTTTTAGCTGATTTACCACTTATACAGGTTAAACAAAACACATTTTTCAATTTCACTTAAAAATAGTTGTAACTAACCTGTATGTTGTTTTAATAACTAGCCAGATGTATCTATCCTCTCTGATGGAAATCATCCACAATTAAAGGAACTTGCATCTAATATAACAGTGGAAGATAAAAAACTATCTTCAGACCAATCGGTATTTTTTGTTGTTGGATCAAGATTATTAGATGATTCTAAACTATTAGAGCAAGCTTTTACTACGCTCAAACCTGGTGGATTTTTGCTGACGCGTGAACCAATACATGTAGAATTGTCGCTGGATTCTGTAGAAGTCTGTTTAGATGTTTTTATGGAAAAAGAAAGATTACTACTTGTTAGAAAGGTATAATATTTCATCTAAATATTTATATTGCATAAAATGTAACTCAATATTATAAAAAATTGTTCAGCCTTTAGAGCAAAATGTTGTACCAATTGTTATTAAAATATCAAATACAGACTTTTCGTGGATACCTGTGCTTCAAAAAGTATTAAAAACCGATGATGTTTCAGTAAAACAAAAAATTATTCTTGTCGCAGAAAAAGATAACACAAATGGTATAATTGGTCTATTCAATTGTATCAGAAAAGAACCGGGTGGTGATAGAACTAGGTAACGTGATATTTATTTCATATAATTGTTTTTTTTTAATACATAAAAAAATATTTAAATAATTCAAATCATACTATAATATACTATAATAACATGATGAATTGGTTATACTCGTATATTTAAATTACAAATATTATCAATATTTTTTCAATTATTTTATAAATATATTTATGTATATATATATATTACGGCTCAACTTTTTAAGAATAATAAAACAGAAATAAAAATTAAAAATTTATCAAATTCATATTACTGATTGGGAATAGCTAACTGATGAAACATAGCTCACTTTAAGTACCTATTTAGTTATAATTTTCTAATATTTTTTTAATGCAGATCACACAGATTTGTTTTAAATATTTTATAAAAGTTATGGTTTGAATAAAAGTATTATTACAAATAAAGTATTTTCATAAAATTTATTATTTAATAAATTATTATTAAGTATGCACGTATAAGTAATATAAACAAATATAGTTGTGAGGAAAAATTATAAAAGTATTTTTTTATTACTTAATATTAAATTCACAATATGGGCATAATTTGAATAATAAGTTAATTTGATAACATGATAATTTTTTGACCGGAAGAACGGATTCAAAGTACTTTCCAGCGAAGGCATTTTCACAGTCAAAAATAGTCAAGGAAAAATAAAACTTAAATTAATTGATTTATACGATTGCAACATTATTTTATAGATTTTTTAGGGCAATAGGTTAATAAGATTTTTGATTACGGGATTTTCGTGGTTTTAATTATGAAATTAGATGAGATTTATTAAGAATTAATAATCGAATATGTGTTAATTATACAATATTTTAATCTATATATTATCATTCAAATTGTTATTTATTCATATGATAGTCATTACAATTAAAATAAGTTATAGTCTATTTCATATCTTAAAGTCTAATGACAATTTGAACAAAAATAAGTTATATCTTTTAATGAGTTAAATATTACGTGCAATTCATATAATTATTTATCTCTACTGTTTATTTTAGATGCGTATTTATAATGGATGAATCTGTCCCAGAGTTTTCGTTGGACGATCCATTATATAAAACACAATTAAAAAAAGACTTGGCATTAAATGTATTCAAAAATAATGTCTGGGGATCGTACAGACATTTATTACTTGAACCTCCATCTTTAGTAGAAGTTCATCATTGTTACGTTAATACAACTATTCGTGGTGATTTATCCTCTTTGAAATGGTTTACGGGTCCTATTGTTCCGTTCATACAAAAACCTGAAGAATCTAAATTAGTACATGTTTATTATACTGCTTTGAACTTCAGAGACATTATGCTTGCTACCGCCAAACTCGCTCCTGAAGTTATAGCAAGAGGCCGTATTAATCAAGAAAGTGTAATTGGTTTCGAATATACTGGTCGCACAGAGCGTGGAGATAGGGTTATGGGAATGATATCGTCACGAGCTTTAACAAATATACTTGAATATGATCCATATTTATCATGGAAAGTACCTGACCATTGGTCGATGGAAGAAGCAGCGACTGTACCAGTTGTTTATGGAACAGTATGAAATACACGTTTAGGTTTACACGATTTAGTATTTAAGTTATGGTTTTTTCAAGGTCATATACGCTTTGGTTGTCAGTGGTCGAATAAAACGGGGTGATTCTATACTTATACATGCTGGAACTGGTGGAGTTGGTCAAGCTGCTATAACTTTAGCTCTTTATTATGAGTGTCAAGTTTTCACAACAGTCGGCACGCCAGAAAAAAGGGAGTTCATCAAAAATAATTTCCCACAGGTAAAAACACCAAAAAGAAAGGGGTGAATGTAAGTTCCTACACGAGCCCTAGCAGGTAAAAAAAAGAATTCAGGGCCCCCACATACAATTTTGGGCTCTTATACTAAATGTTTGTCCGGGCCCTTTATAAAACTTCTAAAAATACAATTTACTGTTTATATATATAACAATTTTAGGAATAATATTTGTTTTTTCATTATACCAATTAAAATTCAAGATTCATAAGCATTTCAACATCAATAATGTGTATTTTATTTTTTTACTACAATATTATTTAAATTAAAAAAAAAAAAGTATATTTTAATTTATATTTAATATATTTTTTTTAAGTTAAAATTTTATTTTGCCGGGTTTGAACTCAGCGAACTCAGTAATGATATTGTCAAAATTGATTGTCAAAGCCAATCCATTAATTTCTAATTAATCTGCATTTTGAACTATCAAAATAACTAAATATATATATATATATATATATATAATGTTATTTTACAATATTATTTAATGTAAAATAAGTATTTCTACTAAAATTTCAAAAATTACAAATAAATTTCAATGGGCTCCTGTATTCAAGGTCCGTCAGCCCCTCCTTGTGGGGCCCTGCATATATTAGTTACTATATTGTTGAAAAATAAAAAATGTAAGTCCCTACGTGGTAAAAAAAAAAAAAAATTATGTATATTAGTTCCCACACGGTAGAAAAATTGTCAGTTTCCATCCTACGCGATTCGTATTCACATAACGAAAGAAATTATCTCTAAAATGTCTATTAATACTATTAATACTTAAAAGATTATCTAAGAGTAAACTATATATCAAATTATAGTATTTTTCCTCCAACAATTTGGGTGCAGCAGTTTTCTGATAGAATACATACAAAAAAACGTATTTTAAAGTTTTCATTTAGATTTGAATTCTAATTTTTATCACGAACAACTACATATTTTTAAAATGATTGAAATGTTCAAACTTTTTCAAGTAAATACATATATCAAAATAAGAATCACAAATAGTAACATAAAAAAAATATATCAGTAAAAAATATGCTGTAAAAGATTTTATAAATGATACATTTTTACATTACATAACAAATAAAATTAATCAATATAATTATGTTAAATTGTTAAGTTTCAGAAATAAATCTCATACAATTTAAAATATTTTTTTAAAGACATTATATTACATTGCATTATGCGATTTTTATTATTTTTTAAACCATTATTATTATAATGATAATAATAACTACACTTAATAAATTAAATATAGTTTTATTATAAAGTTTAATTTAAACACATAAGTATAAGTATACACTGACTGGCATAAGTAATTTTTATTATTGTTTAGGAACTTACATGATATAAACATTTTCTGCCGTGTAGGAATTAATATATTATATGTGTAGAGATTAACTTATTTAATTGTTTACCTGCTACTTTCGTATAGGAAATTATTATTCCATGAAGAAAAATAGGAATAGAATAACAATAAAAAAATATTATCTGTAGATCCCTGAAAGTCATATTGGAAATTCAAGAGATACTTCATTTGAGCAAATGATCATGATGGAAACTGATGGAAAAGGAGTAGATATGGTGTTGAATTCGTTGTCCGAAGAAAAACTTTTAGCTTCAGTTAGATGTTTAGCAATTGGTGGACGGTTTTTGGAAATCGGCAAATTTGATTTAGCCAATAACAGCATGCTAGGTGAATTATCAGTATTATTTTCAAATTTTGAAATTAGGACATAACATCATTATTATCTTTCTTATAGGTATGGAAGTATTTTTAAAAGAAATTAGTTTTCACGGTGTTATGTTGGACACTTTGTTCGACAGTCCAGATGAATGGAAAGTAGCACTTCAACGACAAGTACAGGAAAATATTGATTCTGGAGCTATAAAACCATTGGTACGTACAGTTTTTGAAAGCGATCAAGTAGAGCAAGCTTTTAGGTACATGGCTGCCGGTAAACATATTGGAAAGGTACTTATAAAAATTCGATCTGAAGAAAAAGAGTCTTTTATTAAACCTCTACCTATTACTAAAATGGCTTATCCAAGAGTACTATTTGATATGAACTCATCTTGTATTATTTGTGGTAATTATAAAAAGAAATATTATATATATATATATTGTTATGTTATTTATATAAGTAAACAACTATACAATTATAATTTCTATAAGGTGGTCTTGGCGGTTTTGGTATGGAACTGGCTGACTGGATGGCGTTGCGTAACTCAAGGAATATTGTTCTTACCACAAGAACAGGTATCCGTAATGGATATCAAGCACTGAGAAAAAAAATATGGGAATCTTATGGTGTGAATGTGGTTATTTCAACAGCTGATATTACTACAGAAGAAGGTGTAAAACAATTACTTAACGAAGCTAATCAACTGGGGCCAGTTTCTACTATTTTTAATCTTGCCGTAGTAAGTAAATTACATTATATTACCTACTTATTTTATTCATTTTTTTTAAATAATCAAGTTAGTTTAACGAGCATATTTGTTCTGAAAAATAGATAAAGTAAAATAACAATTTTAAATATAAACACAGCATAAATTCTATAATTGAAATTCCGATTAAAACTAAAACAAAAAAATATAGTAAGTAATTTAAAAATATCAAGTTTTATAAATAGTTCTAAAACATGAATTTTATTTTTTGAATGGAATGAGGAACTTATTGATCTTAATATGACCTTTGTTGATTTTTTGTTTCTATGTTGTTATAGTTCCTTTTACATAGGAATTCGTTCAATTCTTCGTTCATTATATATAATATTATGTCAAATACTTCTCAAATACATTACCAATTTGATAAGTATTAAATTATGTAAATATATTTACTTAAATACTTAAGTGTTCATAATTTTTATAACAGAAAAAAAAATTAAATCAGGAATATAGATTATAATAATAATAATAATTTTCTTTAAATAAATTTTAATATTAATCATAAAAAAAAATAAATAATTATAAATTTATAGAATAAAGTACAAATATAAAAATCAAGTAAGTATATATCTTATTTTAATTTAAAATTACAAGTTGTTCAAAGAATCATCACTTAATTTGAATTGCGACAGTCAAAAATCATATTTATATGATTAAAATTTAAAATTATTTTTAATTCGACAGTATTTTGGTCGTATATTATAAGAAATAAGAACGTTGGCAGAAAAATATTGATGAAATGATAAATTATTTGAAATATACATCTAAAAGCATAAAATGGAAGAAATATGCTCTTAAAACAAAAAATCTCAAAATATGTATTTATATAAAAAATAAAATTTCAAGACTAGCTTTGTGAAAACATGAAACATATTTGTTTCGTATTTTGCTATTTTTGTTATTGTGTATTGTGAAAACAAATATGAAAATGCTACAAGTCATGCTTTAGTCATCGCTATTGAACCTATTGAAAAATTCTTTCAACAGGAACAGTTGATGGTAGTGGAATGTCGTATTCCATAAATAATTTGAAAACTATAGAATATATAAATGATGACGAAACATCTTGGTTTTTACAATTTAAATAATTTTTCATTTTTATTGTAATATTTTATAATTGGTAGATAAAAATATCTTTTTTTGATTGTTTGACTCCCTTTTACTACTTTTATCTTTCGAACTGAGAGAACTTAAATGTGTAACTTATTTTTCTAATACTGATTTTTACCATTCCTCTGCAATAAACTTGTCAATAGCTTTTAACAAATTAACCAGAATCGAGGCATTTGCCAAAACTAGCTCTTTCTTTTTTTAAATGTGATCAAAAATCTTCTTAACTAATTTTTTAATTGTATTATATTGTATTATTATTGTATAGTTCACTTCAGTAAATTTTTTTTCTTCTGTAATATAGTCAATTTAATCTGCAATGCATACAGTGTTAGCAGTAAATATCCCATAAACATTCTTTTGTCACCTTGCAAAAAATCTAAAATATCTACCAAAGGTTTCATTATATAAAAATAATATCAGAGAAAACTCATCTCATGAGAAGTAAATTGTAATATTTCACAGAAGTCCAAAACATTGTTCATTTTATTATCATCGTCATGGCGAGATATAAATTTTAAAATTTGGAGAAACCCAGTACATATAATTCCATCTGGTTTGGTATTTTAAAAGAACTCCAAAGATTTTTTGTATATTATCAGCAACTTAAGTATACTGTTTTTGTTTACTCCACATCGATGAACATATTGATATTAATTTTTTATAACACTTTCAACTGATTATTATCATATTACTATCCAAACCATAAATAATTTTACTAATGTCATGTTTCGCAATCGAACCATCAGTGTTACTGTCGCATTTAAAATGTTGAGGAAATTGAATAACAGTTTTTATTCTTCTTCCTCACTATTAGTGTTCATCAATTCGTTCGTAATATAATCACGTAATAGATTAAATCTAATTCTAAATATCATAAAATCACTAAATACTTAGTAGAAGGTATATAGTTATAATTAGTGATGGGCAACGATCAGTGGTGTAGCCAGGATTTTTTAACGGGGGGCGGGCAAACCCAAAATACTAATTTTCAAATTTATCAACAATTATCAGTAACAATTTATTTTTATATTAAGTTTAACGTGTTTTTATTTTATTAATTAAACTTCAATTTACTAACTTCATTTTGACTAATATAATAATAAGAGACGTCGATGAAATGTTGAAGAAAAAACTTGGATTAGTTCTTTTGTGATTTTTTCGGATTTGTTGAAAATAAAATTACTATCAAACAAATTTGTAAAAATTAAGAGCAAAAGCGAATTCAACGAATTTTTTAAACGTATAAAATAAACAATAATATAATTATGCAAAAACTTTGATATGGCCGACGCCACTAGCAACGGATATCATTTTGTGTATTCACATCATTCCAATTTTTTCGATATCGCAACATCGTAAGTTGTACGATATCAATATCGTCTCGAAAATATTGAAAATACTCATTTTATATATTACCTACTTATTAATAATTATTAATTAAAAAATGTGCTTTACTTAGCCAATTGAAGATAAGAAAAAAAAACTAATTACATTCAGACAAATAAATATAAGGATAATATACATTTTATAAAAAATTAAAACTATTTTTTTAAAAATAAGTTTTCAAATAATTTTCTAATTTTAATTCTAATTTTCAAGCCCGATAGCTGTATTCTAGCAAATTAATGCATGTTTATTTGGCTATTGTATTCAATCAAAAATTAAAATATATGTAGATTAGTATGACCAGATGTCCTAGTGGATTTATAATACGAGTTAAAATAGAGAATAAACAATAAGATTGTTACCTCGATCTGGAGTAGTCTATAATCTTAGAAACATAAAATTTTCACTGAATACTAATACTACCATTCGCTATATAAGGTAAATAATTTTAAAAATATTTGAGTTATTTGTAGGTTGTTGACAATTTTGTGCTAAACCTAGATTTTTTTTGTAAAATATCGATAAAATAATTTTGTTCGTACAAAAAATGTTGAATAAATTATAAAGAACGATTAAATATTACTTAACATTTTCGATTTTCCAAATTTTAGATAACTTTTTTTGTTGTACAAGTTAGAACATTAAAATTTCATCTTATCTTATTAAGAAATTTGGTTTTACAATTTTACCAACCATTTATGAAAATATACATTAATCTATTCGATCTCTTTTATTCAAAATCATTTTTTCGAGAGTAATGGTACAGCAATATGATTCAATTAGTTAATTAACCATCCTGTATATCACTATTAATAATTTGATGTTTTTTTAATTTAGTAATTTTCATGTAAACTACCTATTACATTTTTTTTTTTAGGTTTTAAAAGATTCGTTATTTGAGAACCAAACAGAAGAAGATTTTAAAGCATCAGCAGGTCCTAAAGCTATTGCTACATCATTACTCGACAAATATTCAAGAATAATGTGTCCGGAGTTAAAACATTTTGTTATCTTTTCGAGTGTAAGTTGTGGTCGTGGTAACGCTGGTCAAACTAATTATGGTATGTCCAATTCTGTAATGGAAAGAATATGCGAAATTCGTCATGCTGAAGGTTTACCAGCTTTAGCTGTTGAATGGGGAGCTGTTGGTGAAGTAGGTCTTGTGGCCGATATGGCCGAAGACAACCAAGAAGTAGTCATTGGTGGTACGTTGCAACAAAAAATCGGCAATTGTTTAGAGATATTGGACGATTTATTAACTCAAAAAAAACATCCTATTGTCTCGAGCATGGTAGTTGCTGAAAAACGTGCATCCAGTAGTAATGCAGGCACTATTGTTGACACAGTAATTAACATATTAGGTCTTAGAGATTTAAAAACTATTAGTTTACATTCAACATTAGCTGAGTTGGGTATGGATTCAATGATGGCTGTAGAAATTAAACAAACATTAGAAAGACAGTTTGAAGTATTTTTAACACCCCAAGATATCCGAAGTATGACATTTGCAAAATTGCAAGAAATTGGATCTTCAGATGATAAAGATAAAAAAACTGGTGATATTATACCAAAGTCAATAAATGAAATTTCTGATGGAGGGTTGAATTACCTTATACGAGCTATTGGAGATGAATCATCTGCTTATGAGTTAGTTATGCGCATACCGTCATTATGTGAAAATGGTTCTACAGTTGAACGACCTACTACCGAGGTCCTTACTTTATTCGTTATACCCGGTCTTGAAGGTATTGCTACAATGATGGAACCTTTAGCAAAAAATTTAAATATGCAAGTCTTATGTTTGCAATATGATATTGTTGGTACATCGTTGACTATTGAAGAGATGGCCGCAGCTCAATATGCAGTACGTATACATATTTATAACTATATTTTATCTTCTACTAAAATTATTTAATTTACAGTTAATTGATCAAAGACTCTCAGCTGATCAAGAATATTATGTTGTGGGCTATTCATTTGGTGGACTAATTGCTATTGAAGTTTTAAAATTGTTAGAAAAAAGTAACCGCAAAGGTAAATTGTGGTTAATTGATAGTGCTCCACAATTTCTGAAGATGTCTACTGAGATGGCTTTCCGCAGTGAAAAACCACAAGATCACGAAATGCAAGTACAAATAATTATGAGATTCCTTGATTTAGTTTGGCCTCATAATAAAAATGTTGTAAGTTAGATTTATTTTATATTATTATTTATTTGAAATTAACAAAAAAAAACCCCCTTTTTGATGTGTATTTTAATTTAGTTTATATCTGAACTCTACGAGATGAAAACGTGGGAAGAACGTGTTAATTATTTCATTCAAAAAGTCCCTGATGATGTAACCTACTCTAAAAATTATCAAAAGCAATTGATAAACTGTGCTTTTATTAAAATGAAAGCAATTTTAAATTATAATGGAAAACCTTCTGGTACCTTAAAAACTACTACTAGGTTAATTCGTCCTACTGAACAAGTCTTACCAATAACTGAAGATTATGGACTTTCAGAGGTAAATTTATTATAAAACAGTTATTTTATGTACTTATTACATTTACATAATCATGTATTTTATTTTGATTAGTATTTCGAATCTCCAGTCATGGTACATTTCATTGAAGGAAATCATTATTCAATATTAGAGAACAAAAAAATTGGTGAGCTTATTATAGAATCCTTGTCACCCAAAGTTTTGTAAATAATCATTATATGAGCATTTTATTCAATCGATTTATTTATTTTAATTAATAAAAACATAGTTCGTAATTATTATCTGTATTTTTCAAGTTTGAAATGGTATATATTTTCCAATTTATATTTATTTCTTAACTGTTATTGTATCCACTATGTCAGTGGCGAATTATCCTTCTCGTCGTCCTGATGTACGCTCAGTGTTTACCGGCCCTTTTTTTAAATATTGTAACAACCCAAAAATAGGTATCCGGATATGGCTGTCTCGAGAGTGAGAAATGGTTCAAAGGTATTATGGTTCAATAATTATTACTCTATACTTTAATTCAAATATTTTTTACATATAATTAACCAAAGTTAGATTTTTAAGAATCTACGTAGTCGTAGGTATCTAATACCTATAAATTGAGCTTAAAACGATACTTTTACTTCCCTTAATTATTTACTTCTAAGGCATACCCCCTTGGAAATTTATGATCCCCCCCCCCCGGGATAGGTCTAAAATATACACTGGATGCAGGGGCATATATAGAATTTTTAAGAACTTCTAGGGGAGGGGGAGGGAGGCGAATCAAATTTTTTCTTTAATTCAGGCTCAAAATCGAAGTAAAATGTTTGGTAATATTTAAATCAGGTTAATCCTTAATATTTGTGGCTATTTTTTTTTAATCTAATGCCGGATCCACATAGAATCGACTTTTGTGTAGTTCTTTTTTAACACCTGTGTTTAGAAAGTTACGTTTATGTTTTATTGATTTTCCACTAAGTATGAACCCGACAAAAAGCCCAATTCAGTATTCATAGCCACGCGTAATTTGATTTCGTTATACCATATTAAAAAAATTAGAAATGTGTGTATCACATATAATCAATTCCTTAAATACGATATCAGGAAGGTTGATTACTCCTTCGCCCACTCCCCTTAAAATACGCCCATGAATTGATAACTACTAGATTTTATATACACATTATGTGTTATTTTCGTGACGTGTATATTTTTCATTCTATTATTTTAATAATTTCAAAACTGGACAGTATTTTTTTTTTTGTCCTGGGGAGGATTATCCTAAACTCCTCCCTCATTTGTACGCCACTGCCTACGTAAAAATATGCAGTAAAATATATTATGTACATTATTATTTTTATAATATATATTTTATTTTAATAAGTACAAGTACTTATCATACCTAATAAGTACAATACAATATAAGTTGATTACAAAAATATCATAATATAATCTTACGAATACTTTAATAGACCTCCTCCAAGAAATAAAGTTGTACTTGTGATTGTTCGAACTACGCTGAAGAGAAACAGCCAGTCTTTAGTAGGTATATAAAACTAACTACAAAAAGCGAGGGCGACCAATATGTTCGGATGTTCACAGCAAAATTAATCGAAAATAATATGATGGGTACTTATGTGTTTACACACATAATCAATTTATACTCATAATAATAAACCCAAATAATGTTATTACGATTATGACCGTCACTGTGTCAATTAGTATATACGTATACTGTATAATATGGTTGAAAATAATCATATATTTTTGTCGAACGGTCGAACTTTCAAACATTTTCGCCAATAAATTGATTTATATTTACTCGTGAACTCGCCAACAATATTATTGTCAGTTTATATATAATAGTATATATATATATTAATATATTAAATCAATATTTAATATTTTCAGTTATCTTATTATAGTGAGAAAAACTCGACGATGTTTGCTTATTCTTATTTAGTGGCCGCGTATTTCTCATGTGTTACGCGTAATGCATAATAATGCAAGTTATAACTAAAAATAAGTAGCCAATAATTTCTCATCGGGCGGTTTGTCATAATGTTTTTTCGAACTGGCGCGGTCGTTCACGCAAATCGACGTTTCAAGAATAGACTCCCTTCAGATATTTGAGTTATTAAATTTCGAATTTTCTAATATCAAAAATAATGAGTTTTTGAATGTCATTAATATATTTTTTTTTCATTTTTGTTTAAAAGTAAAAAAAATAAAATAAAAAATTTTCCGCCTCCTACAAATTGCCGCCCTAGGCTCGAGCCTCACGTGCCTAGTGGTATATCCGCCACTCCACTATATTCCTGACTTATTTTATATTTGATATTATAGTAGAAATTTTTCTGTTGTACTTTTATAAATACAACTCTATTGGGGTAAATAAGTGTTAACTTTTGCAATGAATGATTAAAATCTACCGTGCTCCGACCTCCTAAAGTGGATTGAATTGTTTGTAAAAATAATTGTTAAAAAATGTTATTTATTTTGATTTTGTTTAAGTCTTAAAACTTATTGCAATAAACGTATACTTATTAAAATGTGAATTTTTTTTTAGTTTTTTTTTTTTTTTACCGAAACTTGTTAAACAAACTACAAGCATACATACGAGTAGAGGGGAAAATTAACATGACATTTCTTTTTAGAGAATTTTAACTATATTACAATTTATCAATTATAATAATACTAATCATCCAGAGTTTTCACAAAATCTGTGAAGTATTTTCTATTGAAAATCTTCTTTTTTTACGTCCATTATTATTTTATGAAAATTTAACATGCAGAAACCGGAAATAGTTTATACTGTATGAAGTTCATGTAATTTGAATTGCTATAGTAAGACTAATTTTATTTACCACAGAAGATTTCTCGTTATCGTTTAACGCAACTAAGTCTGCATCCTTCTTAAGGTACTGAATAACATCTCAATAGCGTTGTCAGTTGCGGCGCGAAATATTTTACTTCATGAGTCCTGTTAGGATTTTGCCCATCCACCCACCCACCTAAAAAGAAATTTAAGGGTAGCTTGTAAAAAGAGCTCCCCCTCTCTCAAATGCATATTTACGAATACCCACTCGATATCCAATGGTCAATACACACCCACCTACCCACCCACTGACTTGAGTCCAGAGACTCAAAAATCTGCCGTTACGCCACCACTAATTGTTGTACATGATTGAGAAGAATATACAATTTAAACGAGTACTTTATTTGAAAGTATTATTATGGCAATGTTTACATTGTGTATACTTGCCAGATCATATTTAAAAATATAAATTTAAAATATTTTGTAATATTTCACCCTTTAATGAAAATAAAAAATTAAACAATTTATCTATATACAAATTTTATCATATTATTTTCCAACCAAGCTCACGTCACGTCAGCCGTACAGTGCACATGCTATACTGTTGTCCTCGTATTATGTCTAACTTAGTTATCTTAGTATCAACGGAATCATACACGCGTTTTATCTTCCAGTGTTTCGTGTCAAATCGACATCGTAATTGCAAAATCATCGATGCTACCGTGGATTATAAGTATAAAATTACTACTTTTTTTAGTCTTAAAATTATAAATTATATTAAATCACAATATAAACTGGAGAATTTATATTAGAATATTTTTATTATTTATTATTCTAAGGCACCGTCGCTCACGGTGACTTTCGAGCTACGCGATTAGATTGTCTGCTATCATAATGTATTATTTGCCTTCAAACACTAATAAAAAGCGTATCCAATTAAAAATATTAATAAACAGTTTATAAACAAAAACAAGAATTCGGTGAATCTTAATTAAAGTACCTAACCTAGGTTACCAACGATGTCATCTAATGAATCCACCAAAAAAACTTAATTATTTGTCACTCCCACAGTTAACTCTAACTCCCACTCTAACTGTGGCCACTCGTAATCGCTACAGTGCTCTCGCCGTTATTGGAGACGTAACGTTGAGCAATCCTAGACTATCAGTCAGGAGTTTTTTGATACCACTATTTATACACTAGAGATCAGCACGGGCTGGGCCATAATTTAAATATTATAAGTTGGTTATAAGTGGGATCGTAATATTATTCATTGGGCCGGGTCGGTCAAACCAAAACTAATTAATTTAATTTGTAGCATTATGTATTCTATATTTATAAATAATTTCATATTTAAATTTTAATAAAATTTAATATATTTTTTTTTGTAAAACATTTATTGTCTTTATGAAATGTTTTTGTCTGCTAAGTCAATACTGAAAGGAAATACAGTTGATGTATATTTTTATTTATAAACGGGCATGGTCAGGTTGGACTTTGAAAGAAAAATTACAGACGGGCCTGATCAGATAAGATTTAAAAAAAAATAAAATATGGACCGGGCCTGGACGACGATAATTTATAAGTTTAAGTTTTGGGCCGGATCGGGCCGAAAAAAAACGGCCCGTGCTGATCTCTAATATATACCATCGAAAGTGCCATTGTCACTGCCTATCTTCATTAAAGACTACTAAACTACACAGATCTCTGAATTTACGAAACTAATCGGTCTAAATACCTTCGTATGCAAGTCGACATCTATCCATTTAAAGACTCATACCAAAAAACCTGATGACTTTATAATTTTAAATAATTTCTTTAAGAATAATGACGCTTCTTTCCAAGTATACTTACTAACTAAAGTATTTAAAAAGTATTGAAATACTAATAATAAAATATTTAAAAAGACTTTTCATTATTTCTTTAATAAATAATTATCTAGAAATACTAAAAAAAAATATTTAACATATAATCTTTATTTGAACTACATAAATTTGCTGTAATTCTGAAAGGCGAAAAAAATATTAAATATCTATAATGTTAGGTTAGTACTCATTTAAAAATTGTATATTTTTTTATCTTGATAAAAAAGTAATTATCTTTATCTAGATAGATTTAAGTTACATTCAATGTCGGGAGAATCATTTGCGTGGCCCGATGCAAACTTTTTTTTTACCGTGGGTTTTTTGTATTAAATTCGTAGTCTGTAAGCCATTCGGTGGCCATCCCTCTCCAAAGAATTGTTTATTTTTATTTTAATGTATCGAACACATTGAAAAAAAAAATTTAATTAAAAATTAATACATTATTTAATCATCTTTGTACAAATTAATACAATTATTAATCCATTTATACAAATTAATAGGAAAGTCTTAGTAGAATTCAAATTTACAATTACTAAATATAACGTAAAAACGTAGAATACATTATCAGTTGTTATTGTTATAGACGGAAGTAGGGACAACCTTAATTAAACCATTATAAATTGTAGTATTCATTTATATTTCTTTTTTTATTTCTGACTTATTTGAATCGTCGTTTGTGTAGGACGTTGATAGATATATAATTATAACTATTTTTATGTTTTTAAATTTCATTTACTGTGAATTTTAATTTGTTTAATGAAGGGGGGGTACATAAGTTGCCTCACCAAAAAAATACTACCAAAACCACCGTCTAATATGTTTTAATACCAAAATATTTTTCATAGTTCATTATTTACGTATTACAGTAATCATCGACCGTTTAATATATTATACTTATATTAATTTAATATCTATGAACATTTCATGATTTTGTTACGTGCCAACCGATCGATCTGATTATTCAGTTACAACGTCTCTGTCAACGCTTAAGTGGAAGTGTAGTCAGGAATAATTAAGACTTCTTTTTAAAATAATTAAATTTATTTAACTTATAAAAATTATCCTAACTACAAAATTCTGTAAATATTCTAGTGATAGAAATTATCTAAGTCCTAACAATTGTAACTTATAAAATAATTAGAAATATTTCTAAGTCCAGATCATAACATACACTGACGTGAAGGTGCTCAGTGCAGCATAGACAAGACTCGTCTGATTTGCCCTTGTTTTCGGGTCCCTTTTATATGTGATACGGTATGTGTGTGTGTAAATGAATAAGATAATAAAATATTTTAAATAAGATAATTTCCTATTAATTATGAGTGTGTGTGCGTTATCTCCAGGCCGTGACATAATTATTGACGCAAATGCCCAGGATGTGGTTTTTGATTAACTATTCATTTAAATTTAATTTAATTTAATTTCCCATAAAACGTGATTAACGTTTGGTGTTATAACGTTTATAAACGTTCGATCAACTATTTATTTTAATTTAGTTTAATTTCCCATAAAAACGTTTATGTGAACTCTTTTATTCGTCCACGCCTGTGATTTCGATATTCCAACTTCTTATTACAATATCTAGTGTAATAACCACATGAGCTCAATAATCTAACTTATCCATAGTTGTGGTTTTTGATGTACATGGGAACCTCTTTGTGATGTGTTTTACCGTGTGATTACGCGGGACGCGACAATTTTTAATATGATAATATTTATTATCTATATCTGTGGATTTTAATGATTTTTATTTTTTCATGGAGTAAACAAAGATCTAAACGTGCCATATAACCTTAAAATTGTATACGTTGATAAAAACCTAAGTTTTCTTGATTAATCGTATTTTGTTTTGTTTACAACTTAGTACGTTTCGTAGATGGTACTTAACTACAGTATTTAATTGTATGGTTTATTAATTAATTTATAAACTATTACTAGCTAAAATATGTTTATTTTCTGGACAGTTTACATTTCGTAAACACTTAAAATATATTATTAAAATAATATATTGAATCAAACTTTTTTAAAATTTGTATTTATATAATTATACCTTAGGCATCCAAACTGGCGTCTTTCGACGAAAATAATGAATTTGAAAGTAAGAAACGAAAGAAGCACAAAAAAGATAAATACGAAGGTAATTAAAATTTTTGTGGGTTAATTTTTAACATATACATATGTATTTATTATAATATTTGCTATCACATATTCTCTTTAGTGCATCCAAGTTGACTGCAGATTTCAAACTTATTAAACTATCATTAAACTTTTTATTCTTTGCTAAATGTTGTAGATAAAGAAAAGTCTGGAGGTTTAAAATTGATATTGAAAGTCGGTAGTGGAAGTTGTTTGCCTCCGGCTGATGAGGTGATTAGTAATGGCAATCATGATGCTGGTGATTATTTATCCAAATCACACAAAAAGAAAAAAAAGAAGCACAAGCATCATAAGGAAAAGAGAAAAAGAACTCGGGATGATATCACCTTGCACGAAGAGATAAGTTTAGGCGAGGAAACTTTAGCTGAAGCACCAATATCAAAACGCACTATAGGTCTTGATAATACCACTAATAGGATTACAACAAACTTAAATGAGTCTCAAAATGGTAAGATATTATTGAATAAATACTTATAATTATTACATGTATTTTTTATTTAGACGAATGGGGAGGAACAGAAGAAACAAAAAAACCAAATGAAAATCGACAAACCTTACAACAATTATTAACACATTTACTTAGAGCTTTGGAACGTAGAGATCCACAACAATTATTTGCATGGCCAGTTACAGATCGCATCGCTCCTAATTATTCTCGTCTCATATCTAAACCAATGGATTTTGAAACAATTAGACGAAACATTCAAAGTAATCAATATACTAGTCTAAATGCATTTGTTGTAAGTAAATAAACAGTTATTATTTTAATTTAAACTGCATTATTCTCAAAGTACTCATAAATCAATTATTAAATACGTTTAATATATAATTCGATTAATATGGATATATTAACATTTTTTTTTTTTTTTATATATATAGATAATTGAATAAATTTTGTTTTAATAGAGAGTGTAAATCAATTTTTCTAATGCAGTTATACACTCTAAAAGACTAAATTGAAAAAACTATTAACTATTATAAGGTTGTTGGAGAATAATTAAGTTTTTTGTTTTTTAAATTATTATATTTCATTAAGTATAAAATTAGTCTAAAAAATAATTTTTACTTAAAAAAATTAAAATATATATATATATTATGCATTGATAAATATTAAAATAGTACAATCATACCTTGTAAAAAAAAAATTAATATTATTCTTCCAATATTCTTTAAAAATCATAAAATATGCTTTTATGTGTTAAAGAATAAAGTACATAACACAAGAAACTGATATAAATATAAGTATATAATAAAAAATAATACAGCTAAAAAAACTTTAATTTGAATAAAATTTTATTTATTTAATTAAATTAGATTAATGAAGTAGGTATTTTTAATTAAAAACATTTTTGAAAAATCTTGATAGTATTTTGTTCCAAGTTCTCTGATATCATATTGGTACAATGGTCCATTAAAATATTTTTATATATATGTTAAAGAACATTCAACGTCAACAGAAATTATAGGATGCTAAAAATAAGTTATCATAGCTGTTTAAAAATTATCTATAATTTTTACTTCATTATATTGATTTAAAACTTATGCTGCGTTCTTCAAAATTTAATATTACTATTATCAATGAAATCATCAATGGTCGGCAGTTGCGGTTACGATTTTCTTCTGTTATTCCTTTTAATTATCTTTCACAATAAACAGAAGTACCTGTAGGTCTTTTCCGACCCATACCTACAGTGGTTTTTTCCTTGTTGATTGTCATTTTTAATCTAATTTCAATGTTCATCACTGGGGTTTTGGTATAGGGTTATTCTTAGATCTCAGAATTGATATGTCTGCTGCTTTTGTAATTATAGTAGTTATTTGCTTGATTCTTTGATTAATATTTTCAATTGACTTGTTTTTTGAGTTCTTTTTGGAATGTTTTAGTAAATAATTCCCATTTAGCTTTTTTAATAGTCTATCGTTTTGGCTATAATCCTCAATTAGCTTCCATTCTTTAATTTTGTGTCCCAATAGATTCATTGGTGGAAGCCAATCTGTGTTTTTCCTTTTGGTCATTGATACCTGGGAATATGTGGTAATAAATTCTTTAGTTTTAGATTCTCTCTGACAATGAAGTCTTTAATTAAATTTTAATAAGGTCATTGTTTTTGTCTAGAGAAGGCATTTATGTTAGTCCCTATTATTATGGATTTGTTTGAACCAATTTTTATTGTTATGTTTATCAGTTTTGTAGTGAATCTGATTATAGGCTTTCTAAATTAGAAGTAGACAGAGATAAATTTAATATTTGTTCCATTTATACCAATTTTGAATACAGTTAAGTGTTTGTTTATATATTGTTGTAGTGCTAAGACTTCAATCTTAATTTAACACTACTATTGCTGTCCAAGTTATTACACTTTCTTTTCCTCGAATTTGTTAACCTCTATAACATATTTACTTGTGTGGAGGGATATCAAGATTTTCTTATATTAGTATGAAGTCTATATTGTTAATTTGAGTGAAATATAATAATTTGTTGTTAAACATATTTTTAATATTTTTTATTGATTTATTTGTATTGCTCGGAATTTTTTATTAATAACTCTTTTTGTCACTTTAATAAACAAATGTTTATGGAATTATTTAATTTGCAGGCAGATTTTAAATTAATGTGTGACAATGCAATGACGTACAATCAACCAGAAACAATTTATTATAAAGCTGCTAAACGACTTCTTCATGCTGGTTTAAAGTTAACGGGCCCTGAAAAATTAAAGACACTTTTATCTGCGTTGCCTGGAATGGCTCAAATACCTCAAGCACAATTAGGTTTTGACATAAATCAAGATTATCAAGATACTTCAAATGATACAATAATTGAAAATAATGACCGATTGCATGATATAGATCAATCAAATCAACGGAAAATTTTGTAAATATTTCTTACTGTTAATTTTTTTTATTGAATTTTTTAATATTTTTCATTTTAGGTCAAAATTTGAAGCAATACCTGATAATTTGACTCCAGACGAGATTCTTAAACAGGCTCAAAACGCTTCTAAAACAGCTTCCGAAAAATTATTAACAAAAAATAATAAAGTAATTAAATTTAAGAATAATTTTATTTTAAAAAATAATATACTTAGATGTATAAGGTTACATTTTGAGGATTTTTAGTTAATACACTAGTAATGTAAAGTTTGCTGATTCTTAATATTAAACATAGAATTCCATATTTATCGTAGATTAAAATATTTTTTAATTAAAATTTAAGTTTTGTTGTAATCCAAATATCATGTTATTTTAAAATTATTTAGTTTTTATTTAACCATTTTAGATGGGATTTTTAAAACAACAAAACAATGGATCTACATCACTATCAATTTTAGTGCCAAATGATGGTATCAATCCAGAAACTGGGGAAAGACCAGTTCTTTTAGGATCATTAATTGGAAAACTGAACCATGGAGTGGGATCAATTCCTGGTTTCCGTGAAGATAGACGTAATATGGTTAAAACTGGTGTGTATTTACTTTTTTTATTAATTTATTATTTACAAAAATGAAATAATTTTTAATGTAAAATTTAAAAAATAATATATTTTTATTTATAGTAAAACCTTTATATTATGGGGCCTTTGGTTCTTATGCTCCAACTTATGATTCTACTTTTGCTAATTTAACAAAAGATGAATCAGATTTAGTATTGAGAACATATGGGGACGAAGCATCAGCACAGTATGCAGAAAGGTAAGTTTTTTTGTTATGTAATATTAGTTTACTTGACACAATAGTTTTATCTTTATATTTGTCTATGATCAACTTTATAATTGTAAACTAAAAATCTTAATTCAGTTTATTTATTAAGTCAGAAATTTAAATTTTGTTCTATAATTTAATATATTTCTTTTTATATCAATTTGTATAGATCTTGTATTATTATGTATAGTATTGTTTATGTATGATTTAGGCTCAAGATTTTTTTGTTAAACTTATTTTAAACTGATTTAAATGTGTTAGAAATTTTGAATATTTATCCTAAATAATTTATTTTCATTATCATTTAAATTATAATAATATATTGGAGGGCATTGTGTTTTGGGGATATGTCATTTCATTGTGGTCCTTTGGACACATGATAATTGGTCGCGTATAATATTGACGCATGCTACATTTAGTCGCGCATAATTTTGTTACATATATACACACACACACACACACATATATATATATATGTGTGTGTGTATATTTTTTATATCATAAAAATCTTTAAGTATTATCGCAAAGATATTATATAGCATATATATATTATCTTATAAGTATCATATAATAATCTTATGTATTATATATATAATATTATCAGTCCATTACATTGACTAGTTTAAAATAATCAACATTTAATTGTGCTGGAAATGATATCTATTTCATATTGGTATATTTAAATTCCAAATGGGGTGCAGATGCAAACACCTTAAGAACTTCAGCAATAGCACTAAGTTAACTCAGCCACCAAATATACTTGCCCAATTTGGAAAACATCAGAACACACAAAAAACATTGATATAGCACTCATCGAGTCTTACAGAATAATAACAACAGGATACCTTAGACCAACAGAGGTACACAAACTTCATACCCTAAGTGGCATAGCAACACCATGAAAAACACAGATCAGCGATAACCAAATTTGAAAGATACAAATGCAACCAAGATTCAAGGCACTCACTATACGGATACATAGCTATGGCAAAACGCCACAAATCAAGACTGAGTTTCATGCACAATATAAAAGAAAACTTAATTATTACAAAACGATAAAGACAAAATATGTGGAAAGAAAGAAATATAGCAAGAGTCAACGAACCAATATGGACACGAACAATAGAAAGTCTACCTCTAGGACACAACCTAAAATACGAGACATGGAAAACACTCAATCAGCTGAAAGCCGTGGTAGCCAAAATCAAGAAAAATGTAGTAAAATAGAAAAAAGAAGAAAGTGACTTCTGTGAATGCGGAAGTGTCCAAGATGAAAAACACTTATTGGAATGCCCAACGATGGAGACCCAATGCAAATGGATGGATCTTTTTTTTAACCCATATTACGTAATCACAAAAGTGATCAATCACTTGACTAGAAGAGGAATTTAAGCTGACTGATTAACTATTGATATAATACTATGACTGTTGAAAGGTGTTACCATAGTATACTGACTATGTGTGTTTATATTATATATAATGTATGTTCAAATGAAAAAAATATTCCCATAGGTAAAATTTTAAGTAGTATTTTTCATAGTTTTAATTATTATATATGCTAATATTAAAATATAATGTTTTAATTTATATTTAGTAGTTTTATAGTAAATAATGATAAATTACCAAAGTTGTATTGTAAAATTATGATATCATTATTTATTATATTATATATATTTATATATATAATTTTTATTTCTTATTTTTTTTTTTTTTTTTTATTAAAATAGAAAATTTACAATCTATATCATATGTACAATAGGCAAATAGGATAAATTATATGGATAATATTTAAATGATAATACTGAGGAAGAGAGACTGTTCAGTGACAGAACCCTCAAAATATATATTTATGCCACCCAATGCAACATGCATCGATATTATACACGACCAACTGTCATGTGGCGAAATTATAGTACACCATGTTTAGGAGAGATAAGACAGCTGTGTTTAAACACATAGTTGACAGTTAGAACCTGATAACCGGTATCTTTGTTTTCTGGACAAAATGAATAAATAGTCAAAATCTCTTAACTTAATATACATCACATAAATAAAAAACTATTATATCACTACTAAAACATAAAATATTAATTTATAAATAAATAAATGCTTAGCCCAGAATATTATAATATTTGTAAAGTATGACCGATCTCAAATTGAAAATTCATCATCAGGTATATACAGTCAATAAAATTGCAGCTAAAATATCTAATGATTAAATTGCAGCAAATTAAAAAATAATTAAATATTACTGTGCAATTATTTTTTGGGTTATTATTTTATTAACATAATGAAATAATGATTGTATTCAATTATTTTCAGTATTTTAAATTTTACAAAAGATTCAGATTATGCAATGACTATGGCTGATAATTTGCTTGATTTAATGACTGGTGGTGATCATCGTAAAACAAAACGAGTATTAGATGAAAGAAAAAAACAACAATTGATTTTAGAAGATAGCAAGAAATCAATTATTCAATCACAGCAACTATCATCTTATCAATCTTCTGTAATTTCACAAGGAAATTCTGGAAATTCAAATACTACTACTGTAAATAGTCAGACAAAATCTGCACCGATACAAATTGATCAATTAAAATCATTATCAGAACTCGGCATCGATACAAAATTTATAGACTATTATCGTAAGTATCTTTTTTTTTGTATACTTTTTCATAGTTTATAGGGTTCTATATTTTTTTTTAGAAGAACAAAGTGTATTTCAAGACAGATTGGATCATGTTGGTGGTTTACTTGGCCGTTTACAAAATATACAAAACCAAAGACTCAGTGCTCCTCTTCCTCAGCATCTTTCACAAATACAACATCCATCACCACAAGAAGTTCAATTAGGTAATGTATAAAAATGTATTCATGGAATTTAAAACTATAAAGTTTTATATTTTTAGCGGACAAAATTACTGAATCTCTTGCTGAAAATTTGAAAAGAGTTCCACCGTCAGCTGTAATGTCAGTCACAGGTGTACGTAAAGCAATGGGGATTGCACAAATATCTCATTTAGATGTAACTCAAAGTAATTGTAATCCACCAAATGTAGTAAATCATGGATCATCCCATCAACAAACACAGGTATTGTACCAATGTTTATTTTGCTCATTATTTTATTTATCTTATTTATAAATAAATATTTACATTTTTTTATAGGCATCATTAATAGGAGATGGAATACAAGATCGTGTTGAAGCTGTTGAGGGTACTGTGTCGGGTGTTGATTTAGAATCTGAATTAAGAGAATTTCTTGAAAGTGATCCTACTTTGACAAGTTTTCCATTACATGATGAAAATGATCGAACAATTGAAGAGATTTTATCTGAATCATAATTTTAATTTTTTTTTTTTTTAATATATTAAATTTTATACTGGAATTTATACTAAAATAAATTGTATAATAATTAATAAATATAGTTAGAATCATCTGATATTTATTCAATTATATGAAAATTTTTGGAAAATTATTTTAGTTGTAATTAAAACTAAAACTATAGAATTTACCATCTATACTTCTAGTGATTTAAATGTATACATTTTTTTTTTAAATTTGTTAAGAAGTTATTATAAATTGTGTATTTGAAATATACTAAATTTGTATTTATTAATATATAGTGCGTACTATAATTTTGAACATAATTAAGCTAAAATAATTAATTTGAAATTTTTTATTCAATGAAATTATTGTAATTCTGAGTACTCATTTGACTTGATGCATGAAATTGTGATTTTTATTTGAGTCGTTAATACTAAAATTTTAATTTTAAATTTAAGTATATGATTGATTATAGTATTAATTAGATGTAGACTTATCAATGTTAAGCAATAAATTATTTTTATATTATAATTTGATAATAATGTATGTAATTTTGTAATTCTTAAATAATCACTCTAAAATATCTATTAATTCTATTTCAGAGTGTTGGTTTTTAAATTATCTATATTATCTAAGTAGAATATCTAGTAATTTGTTTTACTTTTTTAATTAGATCTATGTATATTATAATAGTACATTCTCTGATAATGGTTATATTTATTATTAAAATAAATTTTAATTATAAGGTTTAAATGTCTGTGGTTTTCAATTCAAGAAGTAAAGCGGATAAAAGGTTTAAAAGAATATAAAAAGCTTGTTCAGAAATTACTATAATTTGTGGTTTTTAATGAAAATAGTATGTTTTATAGATTGAACATTTTATTTTAATATAGGAATACAGACTTATATAATTTTAATAATATTTTTGTAAAAATAAAAATACCATATTTTTATTTATACATGATAATTATATTGTTGATTGTTGTTACATTGATGTAACTTTTAATCTTTATAGGTTTATGAAAATATGTTTTAATATATTATTGGATTAGTACTACATTTATGAATTAATATACACACTTACTTTTTAATTTTATTTATAATTGATTTAGTTGAAATTATTTATGTATTTACTAGTATATTTTTCATTAGTAAACCGTAAATCTAAATCATCTAAATTATTATGGGCATGTACATAAGAATAAAAATTAATAACTTCAATATAAATTTAGCATCAAACATTTAACATTTTATTTAATACATGTTGAATCTAATCATACGACAAATTAAAAATAATTATTTGGTCGGTTAGTTCATTTTTAAAAAATAAAAAAACTTATCCACTTGTAATATCATATTCTAATTTATTGTATAAACATTGATTTATAAATAAGGGTTTAATAAAAAGGGTGAAACCATGGGAACCACAATGATGCAATTTATTTACAGAGTTATGGATTAGCCATAATTTTATATTCAGTGACTGTGCTAGAGTTTGCGAGGCTCTTGGTAAAATTAATGTTGGACTTATAATTTATATTAATAAAATATTTTAAGTTCAGTTAAATCAGAACCACGGGGCCTTAATTATAATTTAAGGCGCGGGGCCCTGGGAAACTGCTCCTGGGAAATTGCCCACCCCCTCGTGCCGTCCCTGGGTATATTACCTATTTATGTTACTGTGATTTTATTCCTTATTATTATTATTATTATTATATAATATTTATATATTATTATAATTATTAATTATTATATTATTATTATTATTATCCTTATTTTTTTATTCTCTCATTTTGAGTTATTTATTTACTAGGAAAGGAAACGTTGATCTAAAAAATCCGAGTTGGAACGTTTCGAGCGACGGAAAGGTCGTGCATTTGAACATTTGCAGTCCGCGACTCGGCCGCATTAATCTCACGTAGCTGTTGTCGCGTTTGAATTTCGCGGGTTTTTAAGTGCTCATCGTTGACCAGATACCGGTCGTATTACGCGTTTCATCGATGAGCGGTGCGCCGTGCCAATCGTTATTAGCGGGAGCGAGACGAAGATGGAGAGCGGAGTATTGCGCGAGAGGAAAAGAGATAAAGCGCGCGCGAGAGAGAAAGAAAACTGTGTTGTGCGTGCGCGCTTATCGACTTTACCGAGTTTTATCGTAAGCGTTTTATTCTGTGTCGTAACACATTCATAACACGGTCGATTTCCGAATATCCATCGTCCGCTGGTTATCCACCGTTTCGTGTACGCTCCCATCATCGTACATTATCACACTCTGCCTAATACAACGCATTATAATGCATTATTAAATTAAATTCGTAAATCACAACGGGCTCAATCGCATCGTTTTAACTATCCTAATACCATCATTATTACCTATAATTTTTAATTTTTCTATCGTTCATCCGCCGGCTAACGCCGAGACAAATTGCTGAAATTCTCTTTGCGTATTATACCCATACCTTGCACTATTATCCACGTCGCTTCTGACGTCCTATACCGTTCGAATCTAACAGCTCAACGTTTCGTCCGCTCATCCACCGCCGCAGTCTTCCACGCGCCATTCCGTCTATACCACACCGAGTGACATTGTACGTCATCGGCACCCATCATCGACGCTAGCATGATAATGGCCTGGCAGCCACAAGAAGAAGGATTACGGCAAATCATACAGCTGCTCAAAGAATCCCAGTCGCCTGACACGGTCATTCAACGAACCGTACAACAAGTATCCTTTTCTATCGACCAAACCATTTTCCTCAGTCCCTCCAATTCACCAGGGACCAAACTGCTGTTAGACTAAGACTTAGATAATATCTATAAAGAAATACGAAAAACATCTATCTCAAAAATCTACTACTACTTATTGCTGTGTTTCTTGTTTTTTTACCATGGACTATGTTCACTACATTATTGTCTTTTCAATTTAACCTAATGATTATTTTTGTCATGCTTTCACTTGTTGTGATTCCTGTATGTTTTATCCAGTTAAGTACATTTTAACCACCTGTTCAAGAGGTTTTCTAGTGTTTAATACACCTGTGAGCCACTTAGATAAACATTCTTTTTAAATTTTGATTGGTGTTAATAATTTAATTGATCAATTTATTTCTTAATTATAATAGTATCATATATATCCATTAGTATTACATTTATGTCAAGCATTTTAATTTAAATCTAACACTTTCAGACATTATTTGGTGTAGTATGTTTAAAGTAATTATTATTAACTTAATTTTTATTTGTTTTTTTTTATTAGGTATTTGAATCATTACATTTTTAATGATTATTCATTCTAAAGGTTAAAGTTTAAACAAATAACTCTATTTTTTTATTATTTTTGTTGTGTTCTTTTTGATAAATTAAAAATTTTAAACACAATTTTACAATTAAACATGCATTCGGTACTTTGGTTGGGCATTAAGTTATTTTTTTTTTTTTTAATCGATTGATCAAATAATAGAATAATCAGAGAATAGTTACTAATACCTTTATGCAAATGTTTATCTACCTAACTTATATCAACTTTATTAAGGTATTAAGTATATAAAATATTGTTATTTTTAGATATATATATATATATATATATATTAATTTTTTACTTAAATTTAAATGTATAGAATTTATAAAAAAATAACTGGGGTGATTTGAAATAGTAATCATCCAGTAGTAATAGTCCATGGTATTTTTTAAATATTAAGCTGGAAAACATACTGCTTAGTTTTTAATTTTAAAAACATTTTAGTTATTTTGTATATAATATTTCTTATTACATGTTATTATTTACACATATGTAAAATATTCTTAATAAAATAATTTAGAAATTGGAAGAACTAAATCAAGTGTCAGATTTTAACAATTATTTGATCTTTGTTTTGACAAAGCTTACTTCTGAAGGTATGTAATAAGTATTACAAAATGTAAATAGAAATTAACACTGAATTAAGGTTCTATTATATCATTATTATTAATTATGGAAGAACATGATATTATATTCAAATTTATTGTAATTTGAATTTGAAATTTAATATTGCAAATTTTAATTTTTATTATAAGATAATTTTATTATTAGAATATATATATATATACAAATTTTTTTTAGATGAACCTACAAGATCACTGAGTGGCTTAATTTTGAAAAATAATATAAAAAGTCATTATGAAAATTTACCAACCACTGTTACCGAATTTGTTAAAGCAGAATGTCTTACTGCAGTTGGAGATATTTCACCTTTAATTAGAGCAACTGTTGGTATTTTAATAACAACTATAGCATCACGTGGCATTAACTCCTGGCCTGAGCTTTTGCCAGCGCTTTGTCAAATGCTAGATTCTACTGATTATAATGTTTGTGAGGTGAGATATTATGTTTAATTATTTAGTCATTTTTTCAATAAATTATATTTCATATTTCTATTACAAAAAAAATTGGCTTATAGTTACAAAATATGATACACAAGTTATTTTAATATTTATTTTTTTTTTTTGTATAATTTAGGTCAATATTTATTTAAATAATCTAAAATTTACATTCTTATTATAATATTGATCTATGATTTATGTTGAAATTAGAGTTTAGTGATCTATAAATATAAAGGCTCTAGTTACTATGGTAAAAAATACTTATAGTATAGAAGTACCTATATTTAACTGTTGTGACTGGTTTTGATTTAACATGAAACAATAAAAACTAATAAAATAGTAATTGACTAATTAAAATTAAATTAAAACTATTTTTGAATAAATATTTTAGAAGCATGCTTATTGCATAAAATTGGTACAATTTTTTATATGTTACGGTGAAAAAATTAATATTGGTGAATGACGTCTTTTACCAAAATGATTCAATTATGTAGGTAAATGATGTAAAAAAACAGATTTTAAATTAAATTGTACATCTTTCACCGGTCATTGATGTCATTTACCAAAACTGGTGGTAAATGATGATAAATCTCAAATATTACACTGATTTTTTTACTATAAGTACTACTTATAATAATGATTTTTTGTTGGTGGGTGATTTATTTTTTATTTTAGGTATTTATTTGAATGGGATAATAGGTTAATTAAAAATAATTTAATACGTGCATATTACAAATTATTTATTTGTACAATTTTGGTTACCATGACATTTTGAACTGCACAACATTTCTGCTGCATTGTAAGCACATTTTTTAGTACCACAACCAGTTTTGTAGTTGCATCGATTAAATCTTTAATGACCAGCTATTCCATGTCTTGCGGCTTCTCTTAATGTTATTTCCCTATCTTTAATTTTTTTCATGGCTTCATCTAACTTTAGAAATTTTTCTTTACACGCAAAAATTTTTGCTCGTATATATTTGTGTTGCAACACCCCATACTCTGTACCTGGTTCAAACACTTAATTATTTATTTTATTTTAAATAAATTAAATATTATCAAATTAAAATTGGTTTACATAATTTATACATGTCATCTTCGCATGAATTAATGACTAGTAAATTACGTGGAGAACCTCGAGGTTAGCACGATTGTGCTCTATCAACATCTGGTATTGGGACACGAACAGTTGTACCGATATTAAGCTTTGAAAATTTTTCGTTAGTCAATTTCAACATTTTTGACGCTTGTTTTTCGAGACAAATAACTGATTTTTGTCGTTGGTAATTTTTTCAATACTTTTACCAGTAAATAGATGACGATTGCTATTTTATAAATTGTATGAATGACGGACATTTTCCCCCAACTGTTTTTGACGTAGGCCGTAGTAAGACAAGAATTGGAAATTAAATGTTTTTTATAAGTTACATAATTTTTATGTCAAAATTTTTAGTCATTTTATTATATTTTTTAATTTATTATATATATATATATATAAAATGTTTTACATTTTATTATTATACAGTTTTTATTATTTTTATAATTTATTATATTTTTAACAAAAAAAAAAATAAAATCTATATTTTTTACCTATAGATTAAATATAAATTTTTTATACAATTTTTATTACATTTATAATTATTTATGAAAAAAAATATGTCGTATAATATGTAGTAAAAATCATGAAAATATGCAAGAATATTTTTATTTATTTTTTTAATTTTCAAATTAAATAATAATAAAAAATAAATAATGATTTATTATTTTATACATTATTTTTTTAAATTTTCGGTTTAATATGCAATACATTTTAAATTTTGTAAAAATACGCAAAAACTATTAAATATGCAGAAATATGCAAGCATTTTTATCAAATTACATATAATAAACATTTAATAATTACCTATCTTTAGTATTTCTCAATTCATTTTCAGTCTCCAAATTTACTTCATTGTTAAAATCTTTAATACTGACTGACTAAATCATCTTCTACTGCATTAATATGATCTGAATGGTTGCTATTATTAAATAGTTCTTCAATATCCTCTTCTGACTTAAGTTTTTCTATTTCATCGTAAGGTATCCCTGTTGAAGCTAACCCTGTTCTTGCTGTACAGCCAAACATCACTTCGTATGGCGATCTTCCATTACCTATTATAAACATTTTTAAATTAAATAAAATTAATTAATTAAAATTAAAATTATTAAAAAAAAATTGTTTTTAGTTAATAGCATACCTGAGTTCAAAGCCCAATTTTTTTGAAATTGCACAAATTTTAATGCCATTATTATCAGCCATCCAAGAAGCCAACATTTTTTCAATGTCCCTATTCGCGCATTCAATTGACCCTTGGGTCTGGATATGACAAGGCTTGCCATACACAATTTTTATGTCTCCCCACATTTAATTCAAATTTGTTATAATAGAATTTACAAACTTTTGACTATTATCCTAGTGAAGTATAGCAGGTGCACCAAATATTGTATAAATATCTATCAGATTTAAAGCAATTTTTTCGGACCTTTTTGTCTTCAGAGGTTTTAAAATAACAAATTTTGTTAAATGATTTTGATAATTCATTATATAGCGATAATTATTATAATTTCGAGATTGCTTGTCAATCAAATTAATTTGTGCCCTTGAATTAAATGCGGAATGTAGAATTGGTTTTGTCACAAGCCCTCTTTTTGGATTTGATTGTTTTACTTTACAATTACTGCATAAATCTAAATATGCCATTACTGCCTCTGCTGTCGCATTACAATATTTTATTTTTAACACAGCCATCATCCTATTTCTACCACGATGCACCATACCTTACTGCTAAATGTGCGGTGTGAATTACTTCAAACAACTCGTCTACTGTGTCGTATTATAAAACGTCAGATTTATTATCAACTATTGGTTTTTTTTTTCCCCCAATTGACACAACATCATATTTATGTATAAGTCTATTATTCATTACCATTTTTTTTAGTGTTCCAATTTTTAATTCTTTTATTTTTTGAATATTGTTGTATTCTTTAGAACTAAAATAAAATATATTGTCACCTTTCTTTTTACTGCTGACAATTTTGTAAATTGCTGCTTTAAATTGTTCTCCATACTTTAATATTTAAATTAAATTAAATTGTTCACTGGTGACACAAATTTTTACAAATAATATTATAATACACACACTCGTCCCATATACAACTCGTTATAATATGCATGTCGATACTAACTAATAAACTAATATATTATCTCATATTATTACTCGGGTTATCCACGTTATTGCTAGTTGGGATTTTCATTTATCTATCTACTTCCGTCATGATATTTTTAACTAATAAAGCTTATTTGGCACCTACACGTTTATCGTTGATCGTTCACACCAACGTAAAAGTATTGAACATCATTCCCGGACTAAACTGGTAATTGACGACAATAATCGGTGAATGTCTACATTTACAACATTTAACAATTTTTTTGGGTAAATTATGTCATTTATCGGAGATAATATTATATATATATCGAGAATATCATTCTCCATAACATATATATAGAACTAAATTGTTATACTTTGTATGATTTGTTATAAATACCTGTTAGTTGAAGATATTTAGTTTTTAATATTGTATTTAAGCTAAAATTTAAGTATACAGTAAGCTATAAAAATATCTCTAGAGTAATGATTTCTTTGACTTTGGAAATACAATTGGACCAATTACTTTCTTATTTACATTATCTTATGGAGTTTAATATAGTAAATTGTGTTCAAATTTTAGGGTGCATTTGGAGCATTACAAAAAATATGTGAAGATTCCTCAGATTATTTAGAAGATGATCGACAAAATAAGCCACTTGATATTCTTATTCCCAAATTTTTACAATTTTTTAAACATTCAAGTCCTAAAATTAGGTAATATTTTTTACATTTATTGTTTTTTTAAATTAATTTTAATACTTATAAAACAATTGTAATAATTTATATTTTTATTTGAATATAGATCACATGCAATTGGTTGTGTAAATCAATTTATTGCACAGAAAACTCCTTCTTTAATGAATCACATTGATATATTTTTAGAGGTAATATTTTTTTTTCATATTTCCATATTAATAATAAGGCAAAATAAGTTATAATTAATTCTTACATTTTTTTCTTAGAATTTATTTCATTTAGCTGTTGATGATGAAGCAGAAGTGAGAAAAAATGTCTGTAAAGCAATTGTTTCACTTTTAGAAGTAAGAATGGATAGATTACTTCCTCATTTACATGACATCATAGAGGTAATTATATAAATATTTAATGATTTATAATGTACTATAATCATTTTTATTGATTTTTTTTAAGTATATGTTATTGAGAACTCAAGATCCTGATGAAAATGTTGCATTAGAAGCATGTGAATTTTGGCTATCAATTGCTGACCAACAGATATGTAAAGAAGCATTAACCCCATATTTACCTCGACTAGTACCTATTCTTGTTAATGGAATGCGATATTCAGAAATAGATATAATTTTGTTAAAGGTTAATTCTTAAGAATATTTAACCGTTAATATTAATTTAAAAATCTTAAATTTACTATAATGTATTTATATTTAGGGTGATGTTGAAGAAGATGAAAATGTTCCGGATCGAGAAGAAGACATTCGCCCTAGATTTCATAAATCACGTACGCATGGTAACGAAGAAGATAATAATGATGAAGACGATGAGGACAATTTAGGAGATGATGGCAGCTTATCTGATTGGAATTTAAGTGAGTTTTTAGTTATCCATTTAAACAATTGATTATTCGTTAATATTTATATATTAATTATAATATAGGAAAATGTAGTGCTGCAGCATTAGATGTTTTGGCTAATGTGTTTAAAGAAGATATTCTTCCAATACTTATGCCTATTTTAAAGGAAACACTTTCATCTAATGAATGGGAAGTTAAAGAATCTGGAATTTTAGCTTTAGGAGCTATTGCTGAAGGTAAAACCATTTTATTATTTTAATATAATTTAATTAAAACAATAAAACCTTATAATAGGATGCATGAATGGCATGATCCCTCATTTAAATGAACTTATACCATACATGATAAATCATTTAAGTGATAAAAAAGCTTTAGTTCGAGCTATCATATGTTGGACATTATCTCGTTATTGCCACTGGGTTGTGAGTCAGCCACATGAACAATATTTAAAACCAATGATGCATGAAGTGAGTACATTTATTTAATTTGTATACTTTGTGTTTATATTAGGAGTAAGTGGGTGACCCAAATTCTGAGAAATCAATTTATTTTCTAAATCCTAAAATTATATAAATAATCCTAAATTTCAGGATTTGAAAAATCAAATTTTGAATATTAAAAGTTAGAAAATTTGTTGTCAAAGTTATAACTTTAGTGTTTGAACTATAATTTGACATGTTTACAATGATCATTAATTTATGTATATTCTTAATTTTTTAGTTACTTAAAAGAATTTTGGATCCCAACAAAAGAGTTCAAGAAGCTGCTTGTTCTGCTTTTGCTACTTTAGAAGAAGAAGCCACAACTGAATTAGTACCATATTTAGGATTCATATTAGAAACATTAGTGTTTGCTTTTAGTAAATATCAAGTAATTAAGATTATGAAATTTAATCTGATTTACATAGTAAATTTATATTTTTTTTTTAGCATAAAAATTTATTAATTTTATATGATGCAATTGGGACATTAGCTGATTCAGTTGGTCATCATTTAAATAAATCAGAGTACATTAATTTATTAATGCCTCCATTAATTCAAAAATGGAATGCTTTAAAAGATGAAGATAAAGACCTATTTCCATTATTAGAAGTATGTGTATTTTTTAAATTAAAAATTTATAGTATTTAATTTCTTTGTATTTTGTTGTTAGTGTTTATCTAGTGTTGCCACTGCATTACAATCTGGATTTATGCCTTATGCAGAACCAGTGTTTAAAAGATGTATATCACTAGTTGAACAAACATTAAATCAAAATATGGTAAGACTAAAATTAAACCTTTTACTGAAATTTTAAAATTTTATTTATGTTATAAGGCCAATACTCAAAGTCCTGACCAGTTTGATGCACCTGATAAAGATTTTATGATTGTCGCTCTAGACCTATTATCTGGTTTAGCAGAAGGATTAACTACTTTTATTGAAAGTTTGATAAATGGTTCAAATACATTACAATTGCTTTATCAGTGTATGCAAGATCCATTAGCTGAAGTGAGGCAAAGTTCTTTTGCTCTTCTTGGAGATTTAACAAAAGCATGTTTTCAACATGTACATCCTTGCATAGGTATAATATCAATTTAATTTATACATTTATATTTAAACCATAAATTATGATTTATAAGTTAGTAGTGTTAATCACTGATACATAATATACCTTATATTTTATAGTAACTGTTGTTAATGCCTTAATAAGAGTTAAAAAAAAATTAAGGTTTTTGTTCTAGGACACTACCTTGGAAGGTTAAAAATTACTATTCTATAAACTGACATTATTTACGTTTTAAAACAGATTTTACTAAATGCTTGGATTGAGCCATGTTTTTCTGTTTAGTAGAAAAATTGGTATCTTTAATAAATTCCAGAATGCTTTTTAAGTAAAATTATTAACATCGCCAACGGTATTTAATAATTTATTTTTGATAGATATACTATTTATATATTTCTTGTTTTTAAATTATGTATTTATATTTGAATATATTATTATTTTCATAATTAATATTAAGTTGTTTAATCAAATAAAACAGCTGGTTCATTTATGATCATTTATTTATCCTGAAATTAGATAATGTCCTTTGAATAATTTAATTTTTTATATTACTAAAAATGAATGCTTTCAAGAAATATATAAAGAAACATTTTAAGTTAAACCTTTTTTCATAAAATAAATGGTAATGCATATTAAACTGAGTTTTACTGATGAAGTTATGACTAATATATTTACCAATTTTCTTAAGTTTTATGACAAAATTACTATGTTGCATATAGTCAATAGTGAGTAGTGAGAAACCATGTTTTTACCATTATTGTTCTGTAACACTCATTCACCCCATAAGAGTAATCTTTCTTGTTTATTTAATTCTTATTTTGTATTTGCATAATTTATTTCAATTTTTTAATTAGTGGAAGATGCTACTAAGTATTAAAATTAGCTGTGTTTTAGTTTACTATTTAGTTTTAGAATATAAGATGTAGTTTTATATATTAAATATGAGACTTAAAATCGTGATGTCTACTCGAGCTACTGATCAAAATTTAAATAAATTATATATATATATATTTTTAGCTGATTTTATGCCAATACTTGCACAAAATTTGAATCCCGATCATATATCTGTTTGTAATAATGCAACATGGGCTATAGGAGAAATTGCTGTGAAATTAGGTAAAATATTAATAGTTATTTTAAAAAATTATTATATTATAAATTTTAATTGATTTTTATAGGCACAGAAATGCAGCCGTATGTACCAATAATTTTAAATCAATTAGTTGTGACCATGAATAGACAAAATACACCAAAAACACTACTTGAAAATACTGGTAAATATAAATTGATTCTGATTATATTTTATTGTTAATTAAAATTTATTCTTATTTAAGTATTTAAATATATTTTTATTTTTATTTATAAACAGAAGTTCTCTAAAAATAATTTAACAGCAAGTACTTATAAAATTATATACTGTTAAATAATTATTTAACTTAACAAATATAATAGAGTATTATATATTTTCTGACACATCTTATTATAACCAATAATTTATTGTATTTTATTAAGACAAATCTAAAAACATTAAAAAATTATTTTTACTTGTACAAGTGTTATTGAAAATTTTTATTTTCTTGTATCCTAACTTCTAATAAATTCCAAAAAATGTATTTCTAATAATTTTTTTCCCATTAATATTTAATAATAATTAGGTTTTTAAAAATATTCGGATTTTAAAATAATATACTTGCAATATGTTATACTATTAATTATAATCTAATTTATAATCAATAATTCTACTAATTATTTTTTATTACTTTCAAAGTCATTAAGTTTATAGTCTTATTTATTCAAATGAGATAAAAAATAAAAAATAAAATCTAATTATTACTTACAAAATTACTTGGTTTGACTAAAACTGATTTTGAATGTTTATTATTACAAATTATACTAATATTGTAAAATTTACTGTCTCTGCTTGACAAATGATAGAAATTATTTGTCTAATTATAACTTTGTTTTGGTATTAAGTAGTGTTAACTCATTACTTTTGACCTTCAATAGTAATCCTCATGATAATTATATAAATATAAGAATTAACTTTATTGATGAAAAATACTGTTATTTAGACCCTTTTTAAAATTATTTTTAATACAATTTTGTTACATTTAAAATGTAGAATATTCTTTATAGTGATATAGTTTATGTTAAATCTTTAATTTTTCATCTATTATCTGGTATAATATTTTTGCTGTTGATTTAGATAAGCTATTTTGTTATTTTAAATAATTTGGATAGCAGTTGCTTTATTTATTTTCCACTTTGAACATTACTTCCATTAATCTTGATATATCATATTTTATCCATCTAGGTTTGATGATTTATGGTAATTTAATTTTGTTTGAACGGAAAGAAAATTGTTCTTATTCTCATATGGATTGTGATATTATTTTTGGTATTTAGTATTTTTATTATAATACCATTAAACAATATATTAGGAAATTAGTGATTAAATTTATTCAAAAAATATCTTTAGTTAATGTGTGTTTCTTTGGTTACATGGAGTTGTTGAGTTTCATTTAATTCAACTTTTTGAGAAATTATTTAATTCAATAAATTGTATTAAAATATAAAAATGTATTAATTAAAATTTATATTTTATATAGCTAAAATGTTAGAAATTGTATACACACTTTTGTTTTCAGTTATGATTTAACAAATTTTAATATATATTACTTTTATTTTTGAATTGATAAATGACCATTGGTATAAAATTTATAAAAAAAATAAACAACTCTTTCTTTGCTCAAGATGAAACTGTATTACTCAAGTGTAAAAAAAAATATATATATATATATTAATTATTGATTAATTTCATAGTACATTCTATAGTGGTTTTTATATTAATGTTGTGTTTTATTGTATTATATATATATATATATATAGGGTGTCATAAAAATTGATCGTAATCCTACCAATCATTTTATGTTGTTTTCAGAAAAATATTTTTTAGATTAATCTATACCTAAAAATTATTGGCTATATCTGATGTATAGTATCATCCAATATTATCAAATGTTAGAGTTAAATTGCAATCAAGCAGTTTAGATTCTGTATTCATTTATTTTGTTTTTGAAAAAATATTATATACTTATTATGGTTTCACTATTTTATTTGTGTTATTTGATGGATTTATTTTTTATTAGTTTTTTCGTTTTTGTTTTTGTTTTTTTTTTTTATAGCAATTACAATCGGCCGACTAGGTTATGTGTGCCCGCAAGACGTCGCCCCGCTGTTACAACAGTTTGTACGCATGTGGTGTGTACCAATTATTTTTTTTTACTTTTTTTATAATTACTTATTTACAATATATTTTTATTATTTTTTTATACTTATAATTTTATTATTTCAATTTAATAATTTTGAATTAATTACATATTGGTTTGGGAAAATACAAAATGTGCTTCTAAATTACTAATACCAAATATCTATGAATAATAATTTTATACTTTTTTTTTTTTTTGGGGCATTACTAATATAAATTATGTTCTAGGTGTACTTCATTGCGTAACATCAGAGATAATGATGAAAAAGACAGTGCATTTAGAGGTATGTGTCAAATGATAAGTCTAAACCCTGGTGGTGTAGTTCAAGATTTTATATTCTTCTGTGATGCCATTGCTTCATGGATAAATCCAAAAGATGACTTAAAGGACATGTTCTATAAAGTAATTATATTTTACTTTGTGATTTATAAATATAAAATGAATAACCTCTGTAAATAGTATTCATGTATTTATAATTGCTGATGTTACTTTTTTTTTTAGATATTACATGGCTTTAAAAACCAAGTAGGAGAAGAAAATTGGACTAGATTTACTGATCAATTCCCTCCACAGTTGAAGGAACGCCTATCAACTGCCTATGGAATCTAAGACAACTCTGTATGTATTGTTTATACTTTTTAAATTTATATTTACTAATAATTTATTTAATGTTTATTAGGAAATTTAGGGCGCAACATGGGTGAATCCAGCGTTGCATCTTTTGGGGTTTTTTCAACAAGTTTCGTGCTGGGACCTAGCATGTTTAGAATGAAGTGCTTGAGGGAAGGTTAGGGGGGAAATATTAAAAATAAATTCGATAATACCTAACAATTTTTTTGTTTCATGTGATTCTATTTTGTCAATTTAGTAATTTCACTGATTACTTGATTAAATTGTAAAAACTATTATTATTTGTCTTCTACAGTTGTTTAATATTATTATTATTATTATTACTATTGTATAGTAATACAATATATACACGTTTAATTTTATATTGTATTTTTAGAATGCTTTAAAACAGTATTTTTGTAGAAACAGGATTTTCAACCAAAATGCTTGAATAAATACTAGTCGCCCATTTGTAATTCCTTTTTGGTTTGGGATTTTTAATTCCAAATCAAATTAAATTATATTCTTCATTCATTAATTCCTTAAAGTTCCTTTATTACCAACATTCCAGAGTGGATCCCTCTTCCTTTCCTTATAAAGATACCATCATTTTGGGAAACAAGTATTTTTGGAATTGACAACATTTTTTTAATAATTATTTACCATTGATAAACATCATATGAAAATCAGTCTCTAGTCTGATGTTTTTTGTAAATTATCTACCTTTTAATTGTATTTTTTTTTTTTTTTTTTACAAAATGTTATTATTTTACTTAATTTCATTAATTTAATTATTTGCTATTATGAATTAATTTTGTTGAATGTGAAGGCTTGTTTAAATTTTACATAATTTATTAAGCTGCAAATTCAGTTGATCTTATGTAAACAATTACAATATACGATTTCCAAAATAATTTTTTTTATAGTTGTTTATTTAAATCTCTATTCTTAGTGAATATAGTTATTTATATGATAATATTATAAATTTATAAGCTACACCATTTTGATATATATACTTCTAAAAATTTTATAACAATCATTAATCAAAATTTTATGATAATTCTGGCATCATATTTGAATTAATTAAAATATTCTTCGACATCATATTAGTATTTGACTATTAAATATAAATTATTTTATAATATCTATTAAATAAAATTATTTAGTCATTTAATTTTGTTTCTTAACTTCATTGTCCATAATGAGTTTTCACTTTAATGAATAATAGCTGTTATTTTCTTTTTAACAATAATAATTTTAATATAAAATTAATAAAGCAAAATTAAATCAGGTTTGATGTATATTGGAAAAGTTCTGTTACATGTCATTTATTTAAAGGAAATTTTGTCCACCCAAGTATAAAGTTTATTCTAATCTTTTGACTGCTTGGTGTAAATAATAGAATAAAATTGAGATACACAATTAAAATCTTTAGTGTTACCTTAATTAATTTAACAATTAAGTTAGACTATGATACACAAGTCTTATCACTGCTTCATCAGTTTTTTTCTTTAATTTTTTCACCTGAATAATTTTTAATTCTAATTGCCAATATCTCTTACTTTTGTTATTTGAAGCAAGATTAAAGATACTAGATGTATTGATTGTTACTTATAGAGATTTAATATTCAAAAGGTAAAATATATTATTTTAATTTTTTAGTGGCCTCAAATTCAAAAAATTGTAGATATATATATAAAATAGTAATACCATATCCTTATATGAATGAACTAAACATGAGATTTGTGATAAAATAAACTATTTAAATAGTTTATTTTTATAGGACAACAAACTTACAGTAATGCTGTTTAACTTGTTTATAAAACATCTTATCTGAAGGCACATAGGTAAAGTGGAATAGGTTAATGATTATTTGATTGAATTACTTTGTAGTGTTAAATGAAAACAATTATTAAATTACATGATAATACACAGGGCCAGCAATAAGGTGGAACCATGGAGGGCTAGAGCCCAAAAGAGCCCCCCCGTCTAAGCCTTACAAATAATATTTGTATTGTACTGAAGTATGCACAAGTAGTATGTTTATCTTGACCAAACAAGTGCAAGTAAAGGAGACCTGGAACCGATCAGCCCCAAGGTCCTCAAAAATTCTCGCTAGCCCTGATAATACAGAGTGTAATACAATATAAATATATAATAAATTAATATTTTATTGTATATATAAATAATATAACATGTATATATGTATAAAATTTAGAAAAAAAAATATATATATAAGAAAATAGATTTTAACCTGTTATCATGGTATTTAGTTAAAAGTAATTTAACAATAAAACAATTATTATAATAATTAAATATTAATACATAAATATTTGCTAGTAAGTCAAGTACTAAAAGAGCATAGAAGAACACATAAATGTTTTCAGTTTATTACATTAAATATTCTATTAATACTTATTAGTGACTAGTTATGAGCCATAACCCAAAGGAACAAGAATGTTTAATAAAAAAATAATTAGTAGAATTTGAAAAACTAAATTGAAACAGTTATATAAGGTCAAAAAAATATTAATTAGTAACAAAATGTATACATTGTTTAATCCATATATAATTATCAATTAAACTGAAAATGAGATGGGAGGATGTAGTGAAGAAACGTGGAAGAACTAGGAGGAAGTGATTGGAAGGTACGAGCAGCAGAACTAGAGGAATGGAAAGCTGAATGTATGATGGGATGGTCCTAGAGGTCGTAAACACCCAAAAAAAAAAAAAAAAATTATCAATTATTTCCAGAGAACCTTAGAAAAGTACCTATTGAGCTCATTGCTTAATTTTTTCTATAAATGTAAATAACAATTTTTTTTAAATGAAAGTATATAAGTTTCTTGTTATGTTTTTGATATATTTCTATATCTATATCTTCATCACAACCATCAACAGCCTTGGAAACCTGTAGTTTTTATTCACTCCTCTGAAGCTTGACCGTTGATCAAATAGAGAAAGATATCCAAATGCGATTAGTAACTGTTAATTATCTTTTGAAACAAGGTAAATTTGTTTAGAGCATAGAAATAAATAACAATTCTGTCAATTACAGATTTGCAAAATATTAATATAGATGGTATCTTAAGAAAAATTGTTTTTTAATTGTATAATTTATAAAACGATTATTAATTTAATCAATTTAGTTTGAAATTGTGTAGTCAACTTTGGTTTGATATTTTTAAAAATAAATTTAAAATAGTATGAATGAAAATAAGATGAGAAAAATTGTTATGAAAATAACAATTGTTTTCTCTACCTTATAGAATTATAATGTACATAAAATATAAAATTAAAAAAAAAATTGCATAAATGTTGTTAATGAGATATCATATGGGGCAGTAAACCATTCGAGTATCATAGATATTAATATATTACTTTTTTTTCCATACTTGTACATCACTATTTACGTATCCAACAACTAACGTATTATTTTGATAATCAATCTAAAAATAAATTATATTTCTTAAGTATACAAAATTATACATTTTCTCTAGATTAACTTACTGAAGTAATTTCTGAACCGCAGTCAATAATTTTTGCTATTATTCTTGGAGGACATGTTGGAGTTATAATGTAGATGGCTCCTTCATTTCCTCCAGTGATGATACTGCCATAATTAGTACATTTAATACTATTAAGTTTATAACGTCTTTGACTATCATTCCCATGAGGTCTCAATAATTTCATAGTCTATTAAAAAATAAGCTTTAGATAATTAGTGAGAACATAAAAAATAAAAATAAATTAAAATATACTTTAAGCATATCAAACATCCCATTAGAACAATCCATCCAATGCATATAATCTCTACTATCACCAATAAACAGTACATTGTCGTAGTAGGATGCACACATTGGAAATTTACTTCCTCGCTGGTAAGAAAAAATAAATTTCATTATAATTTTTCATTGAGAAATTTTTCTTATTTACTTGAGTTAAATGCAATGATTTGAGAGTTGAATGTGTTCGTAAATCACAAATTGACAAAGTTTTGTCTTCACTTAATGATACCAAATAGTTGTCTTCAACCAAACATAAGTCAATAATACTCCTTGTATGAGCATTAAGTTCAAATAGACGTTTTTCATGTTCTCGAGGATCAAATGCAATGACTTTAGGTGTATAAAGGCCAGCGGCAATAAAATTGTTTTTGCTTGTTATTGACAAAACTGCTGTGTCAGCACTGCACAATAAACATAGTATTTTATACTTGATAATGACGCTTTAATTATAAATAAATGTTTATGTCAAATTTACGCAAATGTTAACAAGGGCTCTGAATCTTGTGAAAAGTTGCTCAAATTCCATAATTTAACACTAGAGTCCCAAGAACATGATAAGAAATTATTTTCATCATAAGTTTCCAAGTCCCATATCCAGCCAGTATGACTATCTGATTTGTGTACCACAGGATTTGTAACTGTATCCAACGTATTCCACAAGCATATTGAACGATCCCTTGAAGCTGATAAACATAGATCGCCTCTGTCCTATAAAAGTTGATATTCACAATTCTTTAAGTTTTATTTTTATTTTTTATTTTAATCTACAGTTAACCTACAGTTGGAGGAACAAAGCTAAAAAAAGAAAGGATGAAGTGAAAATTTGTAAAAGAAAATTCTGAAGTAAAAGCTGTTTTCACTTAGTCTCACATAATCAGATATATAGAGAACCATATTGTCATTCTTAATTTTAAGTAATATAATTAACAATACTTATTACCTATTGTAAAAAATAAATATAAATAATGCATACAATATTCTGTTGATTATCAAGTCTAAAAGTATGTATTCTTTTTAGAATATATTCTAAAAAAACTGATAAAAAATATTTTCAAAATTAATTCCAACAATTTACTTTAGTCAGGATTACAGCATCAACTTCAGAGAAATGGGGACCACGGAAAACAGTATTTGTAGTATTTGTCTCATAGTTGCTCCAACAGTCCTCTTCTAGTTCAGTATGCCAAACGAATTGTTTCCAATTAAAGGTGTTTTCTGTAAAATGACAACAACCAAGTAAAATACAAATATGTATTTTCTATACCGATGGCCACTTAGTCTCACCATTGTAACTGTCCGTCAACATGAAAGCCACGTCAGAACCATTATATTTTCGCAAGGCTCTTCTCTTCCACAAGTAATTATCACCGATTATGCCATAGAACTGCTTGTTGACAAACATCAAAGACTGTATTAACGTGTTAGCGTCAACGTAATCACAGATCATAAGAAACACCTAGGGAAAGGAAAATAGATATCATCAGCATTGCGTCAGTTCAATTCTTACCCGACTTATGAACGTTTACCTCGATTGGAAACGAATCTAGTGAGACCTTATCGACTCGCACGTCCTCAGGAGAATCCATTTTCGTAATGATTTGCCCGAAAAGTTCGAGATATCCGTGTCAACGGGAGCGTCTTCTTATGCTGGATCTTCGTAAGTGCGTTGTAAGATGTGTTGCTAACCATTTACATACAGCGGTGTTGAATAATACCAGCACCATGGATCTGCAGTCCAAAAGATGATCTTGTTCGTCTTTGATCAGACCATATTACCGTTGTTAATGTTGTTATTTTATTATTATCACCGTCGCCGTCGTGACGGGATGCCATTCGAATGAACGCACAACAGCTGATGTCTCATAACGTGTGGTAGTGGTGGTATCAACCTATAATTGGACAGATGAAACAGACGTGAGTAGGAAACCGCATTAGAGACGTGGAGTCATTAATTTTTTTCCGGTTTCTCTTTCTCTACGACTAACTTGGATGACGAAATGATTTAGTCCATCAGATATTTCACAAAAAATCGGTTGTATGGATTATGTGAAAAGTACCATACACTCGACAATATGTCCAACACGGAAAAAAACAGCGAAGGTAGACGGGTTTTCGTTTGTTTAATCTAACCGTGCGTTGGTAGATGACTTACATAAAAGTCGATACGGTAACGGTTAATATGCGACCTACAAATGTTATTCGACCTACCGATAAGATTGTGTTGATCTACATGTTTCGTTATCGCGATTATTGTCGTTATGGGAATATTATTTATGTATTTTGGAATCGAGAAACTCTTTTAAAAATTATTAAAAATGAAATAAAAACTGGAACGAAAATTTATAGTGACCAATGGAGAGCGTAATCAACATTAAATCATCATCAAAGTTAACCATTTAGAATTTTATTGATCGGGAAACAAGAGCACACACTCAACAAATAGAAGCCTTATGGAGAATTATAAAATCCAAATATAATATTAAAAATAATGGGGCGTCTCCTTTACTTGATAGACAACTCCAAGAAGAGTGGTGGAGATCGTGTCAAAATCTAAAAACCATTTTTAATAACTTTTCGACTGATATGAAAAAAACATTTCATAACAATATGGACTGCAACAACACAGTTATTGACGACACTGAGAAGTGGAATAAAAAAAAGGTTAGTTACAATTACTTGTATTTTACATTTATGACGTAGGTCATTGGGCTGTAAATCAGTGTGTAGGTCGCATATTGGACTGTTAACGTCGATTATTTTTTGTTTTGGTATTCACGTATTAATTGAAGGCATTTTAAAAATTAAAATGATTGAAATATATATAAAATTAGAAATTTTAAGGGACTGGAGCGTGTCATGTATTAAGGAAGTAATAATTAGGTATTTCATATATATTTCATTTCAGCTGCATCAGTGCACAAGTAAATTAACACGCAAAGAAAATGTGAGTAACCCGTTATCGCGCTATCTACTGTCTACATAATGCACCGGCTATATAATGAAGTCCTGGAAATAAAATAATAATCAAAATAAATAATATTACATGAGAATTCAGTGGAAAAAGTATTAAATGTATTTACCATAAACGTTCATTCTTAAATACATTCGCTCCATCTGAGATATCAATCATAGATTGAATTCTACGTGAATATGCAAGCCAATTGATTTTTTACCATCCTAGTCCCAGTGCTAAAGGTGCAAAAATTAAAAAATGTATTTACATAAATAAAATAATATATTAATAAATTGTTTTTTATTACAAATTACAGAACATTTTGTAATAAGAAAGTAGGAACTTTTTTATTATGATGATGTCTAGTTAATTTCATTCAGAAATTGAGGCAACATGCTTTCTATATAAATTTTTTTTTAATTGGCTCTTAATTTTATTTTCCCAAAAACAATCATCATGTTTTATTTTTTTATCATCAAACCTATATAAATAATAAATACAATTCATTAATTATATAAATATATTTCAAAATAATTAATATTTAGGTACACAAACCTTAAGGCGTTCAAATGTAAAAATAGCAGTATAATTTACACGAAATATGCAATTGCCCTTGTACTCGGTAGTAGTAGTTGTAATTTTATTTGAGATGCAGCTGTCCATTTTTTATTTCATAACTTTTTATTTTTTAAGAAGTTATTCCATCTTCTAGACTCATACTTTTTGCTGATGCTAGATTTTATTTCAACTAAAGCATTATCGTCAACTAAGCCATCAGGAGATGGTGCCAAGAAGCCATGGTTTACTATTAGTTCAGTACTTTTTATATTTTTCCCCATAACCTTTTTTAATTGTTCTTTGGCTATGTCTTCGTGCTGTTTTCCATGTCTGGTGGCAGCATTGCCGTTAAAAGTTCGAAACAATAATTCCTTTGCGACTTTTTCTCGTGAAGTGGATTTACACAATTTGCATACTCTGCCAAATATAGACGCTGTTAATCTATTTAAAGAAACAAATATTCAGTAGCGGATTCAGGGGAGGGGCACAGGCACACATGCCCCCCTGTCAATTTTCTATTGATAATTATTTTTATGTTACTACAAGTATCGTTTAAATAAAATACAATAAATAAGAATAATACTACCTATTAGTACCTATAATAATTAATTAAATTTAAACTGAATCGATATGTTTGCTAAAAAACAAATGAAGACTTCAACTCGACCTATAAGACTATAAAGTATGAGAATCTACAGTATGTCCCATAAGTCCCGTATCATCCTTAATATCTCCACGGGAAATTAATATATTTAAACGCGGTTTTTTTACAATACTCGGTATGGAAATTCTGATTGAATGGCATAAAATTCATTTTTTTTTTTAAAAATTCAAAAATTAAAAAAAAAAATTTATGCATTTAAGAATTTTAAATTTTTAAGATAGCCATTTTCTTTAGCATATTTTTTAAAACAGTTCAAAAAAAAAAATATCAAAATTGAATAATAATTGAGCAAGTTATGTTTTTGAATAATCATAACAAAAAAATTAATTGTTTCACATTTCAATAATAAAATATCTATTTCAGCTTGACAATACTTTTACATACCTAATTAAAGTTTTGAATTGAATAGAAATAAAAATAGCCGTGTCTTATCGTTTACTGAACAGCAAAACTGGTTACCTATTTTTAAGTATTTTAATTATCATGAAGTGAACCTAAAGTTACAAAATAGGATAAATCTTACAGTTATTATTAATGCCATTTATAATAATAATACCTACGCATATCACAATTTTCTAAATTATTATCTTATGTTCTTTCTTTATAGCTATTACTGCTATTAGTGTCATACGTACAGACGTACAGTATGTATTGTGTCTTTAAATATAATTTATTATTTCTTACTTAGTTGTTCTTATTTTGTTCAATATTTAAAATGACTCACACATTCTTATTACATGAGTACATCGACATGGTGAAATGTTACTTCCGAAACAACGAAAGTTATAGATAAGCTGCTTATAGTTATGGAATTGAGTATCTTGATTGTAAAAAAACATCATACAATGTTATAAACAGATTAATGTCTCGAAGTTGAAAACAGGTAAAATTATATTATCCTTAAGTTATAATTAAGTTGAAAATTTTGATATTTGGATACGTCCGGACCGTTCTAGACGATTTAGAGTCTAATAAGCAACTGAACCTTATATCCGTGAGTCTTATAAGCGACGTGGTGTCCACTGTACATATTTCTTAGAACCAAATTAATTTTTTCCTACAATAAGCTAAATATCACGTAGATTTTAGGTAGCGGGTGTTAAGTTGTGTACCTATTATTGAGTTATTTTATTTATTTCATAATATTTTTAATAACTTAATTTTAATTCTTAGGTAATATTAATGAACGAAATAGGTCAGGTAGATCTCTGAGTGTTACAAATGTTGAAAATACCATCATAGGGCTGGGATTTTAATGCCCTAAAAAATTTAAAAAAATGCAAAAATGACTTAAAAACTCAAAAAAATGCATTTAAATTTTATTTATTATAGCTTAAAAATTGGAGAAAATATTTTAAAATATACCAATGTATTTTAATAATATGTAATAATAATAATAATAATAATAATAATAATAATGTTTTGTATTTTTTTTTTTTTGTTTATTATACGTTGTTACTTGTTTAGTTTTTTTATGCTTCTGTTTTCTTAATCATTCATTCTAAAATAATAATTTTAAAAAAAATTTAATATTTTAATTTGTTTTTGCTAGTTGTTATTAATACTAACCTGAACAAAATCGTTATTGCACTGGATGATGATATGCTGTCTTATATTTTCAAATAAAAATTATCGTCGTTGATCGGATAATATACTTTTGTAAGTAGAAAACTTCTTTCGACTTCGACTGATGATACTGGAGCATATTTAAAGTGTGAAATATCGTTCGTCGTTATATTTTCTGGTATATTGTTTTCATCAGGTTTTTCACCATTTATAATTTTTGAAATATTTTGTAATATTTTCAACCCTTTATTTTTATTTAAAACGTTTTCCATTTTCTTATTTATTGCAACACCAATTTCATTTGGTGCTTTATTTATTAAAACTCTTATATCTTCTAATATTCTTAAAGATTCTGATAAACTCTGTCCATATAATTATTTTATTCATGGTATTATTGTAACATTTACTTACATAATTTTTTTCTTATTGACGATCTATCAGGAATTGATTTATTGGTATACTTCTCTAAAAAACCTTTTAATATTGGATTTTCGAGTTTATTAAGTAGTATATTGGCCGAAAGAAAGGCATTAGTCAAATCATAAGAAAACGGAGATAGCTAATTTTTATTTATAAAACTCTGCATCGTGGATACCTGTTGGTCCGATTTAAGTTCCCGACGACGTAATCCTTGTACGTGTTTATTTCGGGAAATGTGTTGTACAACAGTAAATTTTTTTTCAGAAGCCACTTTTATTTCACATATTTTGCAAAATAATATTTCACCGTCTGTAGAAAAAATGTCTTTACCGAATTCATTTACATATTTCGTTAATCGATTTGATTGCGACATTTTTACTTTCGGCATATTGAACTTATGATTTTATGAATCATATGAAAAAACACGACACAACGAAACATAATAAATGCTATCGAGACTACGATGACGGACGTACTAATTGGTTACTAATTCAGTAATACTTATCTAAGCCTAGCTATGATAAAATTGTTATCGACGATAACTTGTACCTATGTATGTATGTATGGTGTAATAAAAATAATAATTATTATTTTTATGAATTATAATTCATAAAAGGTATATATAACGGTGATAATTTTC